CATCGATCATATTTTCACCCTCCAATAGGTTCTGGGATAACACGCATACTTACTGGTGGCCGACATTTACGTGAAGGTGGTATTCGACTCTGCCGACCTTGAGGTGTGGTGGCAGTGTCTCACTGTGAATGGAGTGTCGAGCAAGTAAATAACCCTAATCAAGGTTCTCCACTCGATTTCATACAGCCGTGTATGGAGTACTGTCGAGTTGTCAATGTGAATTGTCGGTGACTAGTGGTATTCCTCAGGGGGATGCCCGCTATCACCGTTCCTGTTAAATTCCGTCGTAGCTGTATGTATGTATAAGTGGATATATGCATCTATGCGACTGACTTAAGCGGGATAGGTTAACTTGATGAAGGTCACCTAGGTGATTTGGAGTATACAGACGATATTGTCGCAATGACAAAATGTAGGATGTTCCGAGCATAAATCTGAGTGTTTGACATGCGTTTTGCACACACTTGTCAGATGTAAGACGATGCTCTAGAACTGACTGGTCTACAACCACTATTAGTTTAATGGTAGGGAGTGAAGTGGTGGAGTTTGTCGACCACTTCACTTACTTGAGGAGTTGTATCAACCCAAACAGGCTGTTTTCTGACTAGATCTCAGCTTGCATACAGAAGGGTCGTTTGGCATTTACCAATATGCGTCACCTGTAGCGCTGACTAGCAAGATATCCGACTACCTATTAAAGGAGGAGTATACTGCACTGCAGTCCGTTTTGTTTTGTTAAGTGACTGTGAGATATGTCTGTTAAAGGTAGAAGGCATGAAGCGGTTACAGGGATTTTGATCGTATGTCTAGTATTGCTTGGGTTTGGTGGAACCACCATGTGAGCAATGTTGAGGTGAGGAAAAGGGTTCTAAGCAAGACAGACAAGTCGATTGACGAGGTTGTGAACCTTCATCGTCTGAAATGACTTAGACATGTACTACTGATGCTGAACCACCACCTACCTCAATGTGCGAAACTATGTTAGGGTAATCTGGATTAGGTTGGACAAAAGTTCATGGTGGTAAGGCCAAGACGTAACATTGGTCGATGGTCTCTGTCTTTTGATCTGAGAAGTGCAGTGTGGTTATTGACTGTGTGATTAGTGTCACGAATATGATAGTAACCAGTTTTTGATGATTCTTAGCTACATGTGTTAGTATTGGTCGCGAAGATAGAGTTGTGCTTACTTTATATCTTCTTTTATCGTTTGAAAACTTTCAGTAACCCCAATTCTAAGATTTTCTCCACTCCTTTAAACCGTCGTCTGCTTTGATATCAAGCATTTTTCTGTCCACTTATTCTCTGAATGCTACCAATAATTGCAGCAACCGAAACTGATTTATTTCTATGGACGTTCTTCGTTGGTTTTGTAGACTTTCTCACTAACCATTAACTTCTTTTCTCCTAGTTCTTTTGATATGTCTAGAAATCAGCCGATCCTTTTCCCACCTCTTTAGCCTTCATTGCGAATACCCGCAGTGTAGACTCTTGGCCTATCTCCGAAGAAAACCAAGTAATCATCGTCAATATAGAACCAGACATTACTGCATAGCGGTCCAAGTGGCTACATCTCATCAGCACATCAAGCTGAAATATACAAGGACGACAGATAGACATAGGAGTATGAGTCGAAAGTAGTAAAATTGAGAAAAGAAGAATAAAGAAGTACTGAATCCATTATGACGGTTAAAATGAAGATAAAGTGTGGATACATCTGCATCACTGAAATCGATTTTGAGTATTATCACTTAGAGTCCCCAACCACTGATTTCTCTTGTCCCATGGACCCCCAACCGACTATTCGGCATCACTATACATTGCTTAGATTAACTTCCAAAGACTTCATGAATTGATGCCATGTTTTAGTCTGGCTACCTCTAACCTTTTACCAGCCTAAACCTACTTGAGCTAGCGTTGAACGACGGGGCAGACGGCGGCTAAGTACGTAACACACGTCCAAGCCATTTTAGTCGATGAAGGTTCATAACCTTGTCAACTGATTTACCTCTTCTCCCTAAAACTCTACACCTGACTTCTGCATTGCTGACCTGGTAACACCACGACACTCAACCTGTTCTGCGATTGCAATGGTTAACAAAATCTTGAAGCCTTCTCATGTCCTCTACCTTTAATAACCATGTTCTACAGTCGTACAGCAGAACAACTACAGAGTTCGAGGCTGTTTTTATAGCAGTTTAAAGTTGGCTTCGTGCTTCTTCCTAACTAGTGATGCTATTCTGTTCTTATAACTGTCTAACCAGTTTCTCACAGAAAAGAAACTTAATTTTGCTCTAGTTTTTCTACATTCGTCTAGACTCAGACATATACGTACTCGAGCCAACGCATATTCTCTGTCTAAACATGGTCCATCAAAAATGATAGTCTCCCACCGATGGTCTCCAGGGTTGGCTTACAGTAATGTGGCCTTTGTGTGTGTCCACCATCAACCTATGGTTGGTGGATGCCACGTCAAACTGCCTTCCTTTTATCTGAAGTTCATGCTGACTAGAAATAAACCGTTACCTGAGCACAGTTGTAGCAGGTGATTGTTGTTATGTTCGTTCGTTCTCGTATTTCGAAAGTGCCATCTAAAGGCCTACCCATTTGCGCATTGAAACTACCTACAAATATAATCACACATGAACGTTTAATTTTCACTTGGTGACTAGACAGTTTTCGGAAGGACTTGTTCTTCACTTCTCAACTGCACTCTAGGTGGGTAAGGAGAGATCGCCGAAAGACAACAGCGAGGTCCCCCATCTTTTTCAGCCCCAACTGTTCAGGCCAGTCAAACGGCACATAGGCAACTGTCATTAGGATCGAGTTTAGGAGTGAACTTTGTATCTCAGGGCTTAATCTTATGTCTGCATTTACAAAACTAGCTGTTAAAGCTCCAGAAACTCGAAGAATGAATTTTGTGGGTTCAACATAATGCCCGGGTGAGGTTAAGTGAATAACCGCTCTTGTGTGTGTGTGTGTGTGTGTGTGTGTGTGTGTGTGTGTGTGTGTGTGTGTGTGTGTGTGCTGTGTTTACAGCATACATACATGGCCGGAGTTACTAGAGTTTTGACCAGCAAAGCTTATTGGCCGATTTAACAGAGTGCAAACATTGAATACTTCAATGTGTAGTTTAGAGTGAGGTTTTAGGAAACTAGTGATGCTGTTTAGGATACCAGTGATAAAATTTGAACCAGTTGTTTATGTAACAGCTAAGTGTGACTGGTTTCAAGTAGATTTATCTTGATAAATCCGCAAATATCGATCCAATCGCTTCTTCAAGCTCTCCAAGTATTAATTTCAACTGGCACATCTACTCTGCCTAAACACTACACCTGATGACTGTTATTAGCGTAGTAGAACCATGATACACTGTCTATGTCAATAAGGCTATTTTAGTCGAATATCTGAAACCTTCTCATATACTCAACCTTTCTTTAATGGTTGTATTTCACAGTTAAGTAGTGGATGTGTAATAAAGCGAACCACAGGATAGTACACTGGACTTATACAGTTTGCAATCAGAAAACTCTCTGGCATCATGGATGGTTTAAGTTGGCGAAAGCTAGTTAAACCTTTTGTATGCGTGACGAGATGTCCTTGATCACTGGCCTACAAGGGCTGTTTTCCTACAGTATTTGCGTAGCCTATCGCATTCGTCTATTTTTGCTCATAGTGAAAAATAAGAGTTTTATAGCAGTGGTCAGTTGAAGGTTTCATTGTACAGACAAAGGTTACTGTCACTTTACAGCTTCTTCAGAATACAGATATGAATATATGTCGATGGTCACGTACATTTCATTGTTAGGCTATTATAATGCCTTTCAAGTAAAGGGCTTATAACACTTGCTTTGTCTTAATCTAATTATCTAAAGTAGTGTTAGATGGTGTTGTGGTCAAGAACTTACTCCTAAGACCATGGTGCTAAACATCATCATTGGCTGATCTTCTGAGCGAAAACTCCAATGAATTACGTTAACACTTGCAGAAATATATTTGGGTCATCATAACCGTCGTCTGTCTATGTGTACTGTAGTTGCAGTTACTTAGGGGTCAACTGACAATGATAAGTGAGTGTTGGAATATATCTCACTTATAATATTTTCACTACTAATTTAGCAAATAGACATCTGACAGTTGATTTGACTTCTACAGTTTCTCAATTGCTTCAAAAAAATGAGAAGTAGAGCGAGAATTCTTATGAATGATCGGGGTGGATTACTGCTTTTCGTATTGTTTTTATCATCTCTTTATCAAGAATTATTGGGTGTTTGTTTAACTCAGTAGCGTGATCATTCAGTTTTTCGTTTGATGCGGTTATTCCCCGGTTTCTTAATTGTGTTTTTGATCCATTTACTGCATATCCTGATAAATTCCATTTTTTTAAATTTCCATTATTGTGCTTCATAGGGTTTGGGCATCCGATGGGTTGCATTACACCGATTGTAATCGGTTCATTTTGTGGAAGTAGTAGTGTGCTTCATTCATTTCAGCATATCTCTTTTCCATTCAATTTTACAAGCTCTTCATTGTTTTCTCCCTGGGAAAATCACAAGAATTGTTTAATAGGTTGGATTTCGTTTCCAACTTATTCTTCTTGACCTGAAAATTGTGAATTTACTTATGTGATGCTCTGACTCAATGGTCAACGTGATCGACTGTGTTATTAAGTCACATGTTTAACTCACTGAGTGTTCATCTAAGACGACGACTCACACAAAATCAGCCCCGAAATATTCGGTATACATTATAGTTTGGTACATCTGTTCTATTTTGTGGTCGATTGTATTTAACCAACGATACCACTAAACAATATACCCCTAGGATTATTCAGAAACAAGAATCAATCATCTTCAGTGAGAAAAAAAAACAGTAATATGATTCTGAATTCTTAATTATTTTTTGTCAGTCAGTAAAGAATCTATTTATCATGCGAGTACATATACTTCGTTATGATTTGTTTTATGTTGAATAGTAATTCTCTTTTTGTTTTCGACGTCAAGGTCCTCAACTTCATTCACGTAATAAAGGATCTATACCAAATATATATCCTATTAATACTGATGGATCAATAGATTTTGTAGAAGATAATGATTCAGATGATGATATTGTACTTCCAGAAATGGCACATTGTGCTGGTCCTGCTTGTATGTTGGCAGCTTTACCTGGTGAGAAATATTGCTCAGAATCCTGTAGACTTAAGCATACCGGGTAAGTATCTTTTCTCATCAAATCTTTATATTATCCTCTCGACTTCTTTTCATTTTATTCTATTATATGAATTGATTTCTAGTGTAAAACTTTTCACAATGATAAATAGTTGTATTTTAGAAAAGAAGTTTGTTCTAGTTAACGTTTCGCTATTTTTAACGCTGCTATTAGCTTGATCAAAGTTATCGTAAACTGAAATTTACAATATCCTTAAGTTTATATATGATATCTTAAAATGTGTTCTGTTTTTTGTATAGATGAGCTTACTCTATCAGATTGTTAAACAATGATGATCTCCATATGTAGGGTATGTTAAATGTGATGAATATGTGAATTACAGATTGAGAATTGTATTATACTTATATGCTGACAGTTCTTACTACATGTGTGTGTGTGTGTGTGTGTGTGTGTGTGTGTGTGTGTGTGTTGGTTATGTCAGTATATGAGGCTGAGTTGAAACAAGATCTAGCCACCTTTTTTGGCAATTTTCATCATCATTATCAACATAGGACCAGGCATTACTGCGTAACGATCCAACTTGCCACACCTCATATCACTACATCAAGTAGAAAGGTAGTGAGATGAAGGATGAAGATAAGTGAGTGCAGTCAAAAGAAATATGAAGTATGAGAAGAAAGGAAAGAGGAGTGACAAAATGGTGAGATTCGGTATAGCGTTGTTAAGATGAGGATAATGTGTGTATACATCTGCACCACTGACTTCGGTTCCGAACCATATCACCCAGAGTCAGTCTCTAACCACTGGTTCCTCTTATCCCGTGGACCCCAACCACCTAGTCTGCATCGTCCTACATGGCTTAAACCAACAGTCACAGACTTCATACATTGGTGCCATGTTTTAGTCTGGCCACCTCCACCCTTTTTCCAGCCGGGACCCACCTCAGCCAACATTGTGTGATGAGGCAATCGGTGACTAGGCATACGTAGTACGTGTCCCAACCATCTCAGTCGATGAAAATTCATAACCTCGTCAACTGACTTACCTCTTCTCCCCAAAACTCTACACCTTACTCATGCATTACTGGTGTGGTGACACCACGGAATACGTCCTACACTACGAAGGCAACGGTGGTCAAACACCTGAAGCCTTTTTATATCTTCCACTTTCAATGGCCATGTTTCACAGCCATATAGTAGAAGAGAGCGGACTGCAGTGCAGTACACGCAACCCTTAATAGACAAACGAATATCACGGCGGCACTATAGGTGGCGCAAATTGGCAATTTTGATTCCACTTTATTTTTTTTTTATGAGTAAAGCTGTGGTTCATTGGTTTATGGAGTTGACTTTTAACTGCAACCAAGCAAGTAGTCGTTACACAAAAGGTGTAGCACATCGTCTACTGGACTAGTGTGAACAAAGTTGCTGAGCGCGTTTCACTTTCTGTATTTATCCTACTTTATGTGAGGATATTTTTCTATGAGATATTCCTTATAAATTTCTAAAGTCTTTTGGGTGATGAAGGCTCGTAGGTGTTCATTTCCTTCAAGTTTGATTTAACGCTAAGTTTTTCCTATTTGTATTGCATTGCATTGTGAGCATTTTTATTTTGTAAACACAACTGGATTGTGTTTGTTTTACATCGATTGAATGAAGACACTGACAAGATTCAGAGTCTTCTGGAGTGGCAAGTTGAGAATCTTTGCGATGCGTTTCTTGGCACCCAAATGGCAATTGTTCCTCTAAGACTCGTATTCTTTTCGGTGCCTTGGCTAACAATACAGAGTGAAGTGGTTGAGCGCGTTGAACACTTCAGTTACCCAGGAATTCGGATCAACCCCTGTGTGTTGGTCAGTGGGTGACGAAATCCCTACATGGATACAAAAGGCTTGGTTGGTTCTTTCAACTTATGCCGTCTGTGGCACCGCTGCGATATCCGATTGTCTATTAAGGGTCCAGTGTACTGTTCTGCAGTCCATTCCACTCTGTTCTACTGTATAACTGTGAAAAGTGGTCATTAAAGGTAGAAGACATGAGAAGGCTTCAAGTGTTTGACCACCGATGCCTTCGTAACATAGGTGTTTAGTGGTGTCAATACGTGAGTAATGCAAAAGTCAGACGTAGAGTTTCAGGCTGGAGAGGTAAGACCGTTGATGTGATTGTGAACCTTCATCGACTGAGATGACTGGGATATGTGTTACGTATGCCTAACTGCCGTCTGTCTCGTCACAGAATATTGGCCGAAGTAGGTTCAGTCTAGAAAAAGGCTCGGGCTGGCTAGAGTAAAACATGGCATGAATGGATAAAGTGGTTGATTGTTCGTTTGAGCCATGTAGGACGATGCAGACTAGGTGATTGGGATCCACGGGACAAGAGAAACCACAAGTGGTTGGAAACTGTAGGTGATATGGGTCAAAACTGATCTCAGTGGCGCAAATGCATACACATATTATCCTCATTTTAATCGCTGTACGTAGTCTCATAATCTCATTCTTCCTTCATCTCTTTTACCTCTTTCTACTTGTGACAAAATTTTCTATCCTTTTCCAGCTTCTATTTCATTGCCTTGTTATTTGATGTGGTAATATAAGGTGAGGCAACTTAAACCTCTGTTCAATAATGCCTGATCCTGTGTTGATTTCGATGGATGACATCCATTGGAAGATACAAATAGTAAAATAGAGTTCATAGTTAGGAATCTACATGTTTATAACTATTTAATGGTTTTTCACAATTAGTTTTGCAGTAGATCCATTTTACGAATTCTTGGATTGACATCTAAATATGAAACCACTTTCTACAGTTTCTGATAAATCACTGATGATAATTTATTACCCCCTAATTCTTCGCTCCCCATACTTCGGCCTTTGCAACTGAGTAGTATCATCAGCCTTCATACGACGAGTTTGTGGCTCCATAGTCTGGTACACAATGATCTGTACCGGGTTGAGTTTCCTTTATTCAGCTAAATGATCTGTAACCTCTGTTGAAATATTGTTAAGTGGCAAGAGAGTTATGATGTGGAGTTGCAAAAACAAACGAAAATGCTTTACGATTGATTGTCGAAGGGTTGAGACGATTCAACCCGACTGATTCGCAAATAGAAATCAAAAGACTGGAGATCAGATGAGTGTATAGTGTCTCGAACTGAAAATGTTTGTGAGTGGAAATCAACCCTAGTTTACAGTAAACTTGGAAGACAAGGGATAATTAGTACATTTAAAGAGACAGGAGCGAATCAGAACGACTGCTGGTCATACGAAACATGACCCATACGCGGGAAAAGAGCACGAAATAAACCAGTTCAAATATATACAAACTGTAAGTATTGAATACAAGGGATATAGGCATTCCTAACAAGAGTACGAAACATATTTCTTTTCTTTTTGAGAATCTTCACTTGTGTTCACACTCGATCACATATAGTGACTTCAAATCTCGTACTACTACTGTTTTGTAACCCGGTGGTCCACTTTTTCCAACAACAGTGATTGGTGAAGTTTCCAACCGCATATCGAAAGCCAAAGTGGTATACCTTCATCTGGACCATCTTTGGCGCCGTCGCGACGTCAGTTTGGCCATCAGAGGTCTGGTTTACAACGTTTCGGTGCGTGCAGGTTTATTCTACACCTGTGAAACCTGACCTCTCCTAGGTGAGGATATGGGACGACTCAGTGTGTTAGATTATCGTTGTCTCCATTCGACTGCTCGTATCAGGTGGCAACACCATGTGCGTAAGCAGTTGTGAGGTATGACAGGGTGTTTAAGTATAATGACAAACCTTGTCGTCGCTAGGACAAATACTCAACGATGATATTGGATGATGGTTGCGTTGTGTCGTGAACCGACAGAAGTTGGAAATATAGCTCACTGGATTCCGACCCAGTGGCTCCATGGTAACCTGTTGGCATGGAACCTGAAGGTCGCGGGTTCTATCCCTGTTGTTGTGGGGTCATGGGTACGCACTACTAAAGAGTCCCATACTGGGAAGAAACAGCTGTTCGATTCTTCGAGGTTCCTAATGTTCCTCCAACTGATGTCAGTCCATGATGAATACCAATTTTTAAAAAACCTCTAAATTCCCAGAAATCCCCAAATTCAATATTGAAAATCGTCATTCAATTAGTGAAATTCATCTGGAAACACTAGCTTCGGTAGCTTGAATAAGTGTCACACATGTCCTCCCAACGACTTCCACGCTGTTCATTGTTTACTAACCCTGGAACTGGATGGTAGAAGCAGGATGGGTGGTTAGTGTATGACGTGGCGCTGTAGGATCAAGAAGATTTGTATCGAGTTAGCATCTGTTGGTGAATCACGACTCCCTGAGTGGGGTCCAAGAGATCACGCAACTCAGTGACTTGAGACGTTATCAGATATGGCTGAGAATGGAAACCAATGGCAGTCAGGCTATAGCTTCTTTCTCTCTTCTGCTGCTGAAATGTAATGGATGTTTTGTTTTGAATGTATTTTACTAGACTCCCCCTTCTAATCATGCTATTCTTATGGTACTTTTCATTATTACTTGTCCACTACTCATCGTTTATGTCCTCACAATGTTGTTATACTATTTTGTATAGCGTATTTCTTGGTGCCTTTGCTGTACCATGTCTGTGTTCTGATAATAATAATAAAATTATACGTGTATAAAGGCTCACGTGGTTGAGCATCTGTCTTCCTACTTAATTGAATGATAATCCGTTGCTCATTAGTGAACAATTATAACATCGATATCCTGAAATTATTTTAGTGCCGAGCAATGATCTGTAAAGTTGAAAGTGGATGGTAAGCAGTTGTGTACTGATATCTCTGCGTTTATGTTGCACTTGGTCATTAGATTATCCGGCCTCGAAAAATACCAACCGTTTATTTCAATTCGGATGACTTAAATACTAATATGAGATACAAATGTCCTCACAATGATGAAGAATGGTTTGGTGTTCCCTGTGTTTGTTAGCTTGTCAAATATTCGAAGTATACTACTGATGATGTCTCTAATCTGTACTGTTATGAAGCTGTCGTTTACAAGCGTTTGTTATTAGCTATCCATTAATGAAATGCACAAACCTCTTTACGACTTATTATTATTTATTTATTATTTGTCCCTTGGGTTCCTTATGGAACACACGGCTTCAGTAGCACGTCTCCAGTAAACTCTGTTCTCTGCAAACTTTTGAACCTGGCTCCACGACAGCCCAGAAGCTCTCATTTCCTCCTCACACGATCTCCTCCATGTCACCCTCTGCTGGGACGACCAACTCGTCGCTTCCCATCTGGGTTCCACTTGATGGCCTGGCCTAACGTGTGATGTCCACAGTCGGCCTTCTTTACGACTTACTGGTTCTTAAATTGCATCATTTCATCCTATGGAATTATCTCTGTGCACGTGTTAATTGCTTAGATAACTGCTGTTAGTTACTCAAACCAGTAGTACCTTTTAAAATAAAATTGTGATGATCATATTTAGTGTTCTGAGACGACGTGGCCTATAACTGTTACCTTGACATGGTAGTCGGGTTTGTATATTACAATGAACCAACGAAATACCCTAGCTTGAACACTTGTTCTCCCAACGTCCTGCCATACCAGTAAATTCTTTTGGATGTTACTAAAACTAAGAACACCTACCGTTATAGTATAATTTACTACACTATGATTTACGTCTGAGCACGAAGTCATACTGCTGGCTGGCTTGGAATGTGGCAGCAGTAAGGCATTCTTACTGGATGAACAGCACCGTGGCACTGATGGTGCCTTCTCATAGGAAGGGGAGGATGAGAACAAGTCGGCTCCCAAAAATAGTACACTCCCACCCCTGGCGGCATGCTGATGTCTGCAATAGGAATTCATAGTCGGATTCAAAAGCAAACAACCACTATGTCAAACTTCCCAGAAGTGTGGCAGTTTGAGTCAGTGTGCACCTGTTTACGAGGTTCTACGTTGATTTCCTCAGTCAGTGGTGGTTGAGTGTGTTGACCACTTCACTAACCTGGGAAGTAGGATCAACCCTGGTGCGTTGGTCAGTTGCCGATGAAATCTCGGCACGGATACAAAAGGCTCGATTGGCTTTTGCCAATTTGCGCCACCTATGGTGCCGCCGTGGTATTCGTTTGTCTATTAAGGGTTGCGTGTACTGCACTGCAGTCCGCTCTCTTCTACTATATGGCTGTGAAACATGGCCATTGAAAGTGGAAGATATAAAAAGGCTTCAGGTGTTTGACCACCGTTGCCTTCGTAGTGTAGGACGTATTCCGTGGTGTCACCACACCACATGAGTAAAAAAAAAAAAAATGTAGAGTTTTGGGGAGAAGAGGTAAGTCAGTTGACGAGGTTATGAATTTTCATCGACTGAGATGGTTGGGACACGTACTACGTATGCCTAGTCACCGATTGCCTCATCACACAATGTTGGCTGAGGTGGGTCCCGGCTGGAAAAAGGGTGGAGGTGGCCAGACTAAAACATGGCACCAATGTATGAAGTCTGTGACTGTTGGTTTAAGCCATGTAGGACGATGCAGACTAGGTGGTTGGGGTCCACGGGATAAGAGGAACCAGTGGTTAGAGACTGACTCTGGGTGATATGGTTCGGAACCGAAGTCAGTGGTGCAGATGTATACACACATTATCCTCATCTTAACAACGCTATACCGAATCTCACCATTTTGTCACTCCTCTTTCCTTTCTTCTCATACTTCATATTTCTTTTGACTGCACTCACTTATCTTCATCCTTCATCTCACTACCTTTCTACTTGATGTAGTGATATGAGGTGTGGCAAGTTGGATCGTTACGCAGTAATGCCTGGTCCTATGTTGATAATGATGATGATGATCATCAGTCAGTGAGTTCTGAAAAGGAAAAAGATACCGAGTTGTTACCGGATTTGGCAAATTCATTCTTTCAAAGCGGACAACTGCAGAATGAATTATCTGACCACACAGTTAATGATATTCTACTGAAATCTGGATTGTATCTCTTTCAACTATCATTATGGGCTAGTCTTAGTGATAATGAGTGTTATGAAACTCATCCATTCAATAAGAGGGTACATCCTGTGTTAAAAATTCTCTGAGTTGATTTCAGTAATGTTACTCTAAGAGCAATGATCACATTAAAAGCAGGACCTAATTCAAAACTGCTGTCTGTTATTTGATACTGATAGCATAAATCTAGGTGAATTATTTGGAGTTGTATTCTTCAGTTATGACGTTCACTTTGTTCTTTTAACAATTTCTCCTTCAGTTCACGTGGTACAGTTCGTCCAGGTATTCCTAATATCCGTTCGGGAATAAGTAGTCTTGCCTCTCGTGAAGCCAATGCCATACCGTAAGTTTGTTATCCAATGGTTACTTTTCTATTATGGTTTGGGGTGTGTTTTTATGAAATTTTCTGAGACTATGAGACAATTTTCATCTGATTGATGGCAATGATTGTGAATGCTATTAGTGTTATGCCACAGTAATTATCTTAGTAATTAGACAATTTAAACACTGAATGTATAAGCTCGTGTACTAGGTTATAAACTAATTTTTGTGTTACTTCTCGGCTGCCTAAATCTCATTTCAACCTCGTTGGAGGTTAGATGCCTAGGTTAATTGAGCCAGCGCTTCAATCAGCCAATATCACCTATTAATGATACTTCAGAATAATCGTTGTATTTCACCTCTCAAGATGTTTAAATCGGTTATTCAAATCCCCACTGAGTGGTATTGACATTTTCATCTTTTATACTCCCTTACACTTGTATGCTGATTTCTATCAGTCAGGGAAAGTTAAAACTCCATTTAGCCTTAAGGGTCTTTATTAAGAGGTAAGCAGCAGAACTAAACTTTTACTCAATAAACCCGTTTGATTAGCGAAATAGAAAACTATGTCGTATATATACGAATTGTAGTATCTTGTACATGCCTCTTTCGTGGATGAATACAGCTGAAGAAGGTCTGTGTCGAATTCCTACACCATTCACATAGTTTGTAGACAGATAGACAAAAAGTAATGGAATTTTCAACCATATTATTCTACCTTTTTATTCAGCTATCCGTGGTCTACTTGATATGACTCCTCTTCTCTTATACGCCTCGTGTCAAAATTCAGGCTTCATAAATTTCTGACTATCTTTAACCTTCTTCACTTCTATATGCCTTTTAATTTGGTATAAACTGTTGACAGATTTCTCCTATCTCAATATATATTAGTCAAGGTTGATTACACAATCCCATGATGATAATAATAATGAAGCCAAGCAGATTGTAACCAGTAATTTCATTTGAAGTAATCATTCATTATGACAATTTCACGACAAAGCTGTACACATCTGAATATATCATTAAAATAGATTATTGTAAACTGTTTCATTGATGCCATGACAATTATCCGTACATTCAGTTGTCGTAGTGTCTATTTGTTAGAAGAAAGGCTTAGACGAGGGAGATGTCTATTGTATAAACCTACTGATAGCCTTAACGCGTATATTGATGACCAGACCGGATGGGTATCAACCATGAGGGATGTTCATGCATTTGGCAGTGAGCCACACCTACTGTGTTGAAGTCTTATGCTATTATCTATCTCTCCAAACGTATACAGACAAAATCAATGTAGAACGTCGCATACAAGTGCCTTGATTCAAGTTGCTACACTTCTCACTGTGAATACATTTGTGCCATTGTGACTGAGGATCTTCAACCACTGGTTCCTATCGTCTCAGATAGTTAGTCTGCATCTCCCAACACTGCTCAGACTTTTTATTCTGTCCATCGGGAACTTTATTCCGGACGTGCTTGAGGGACGGTGGTAGACGACTATTGATCAAGTTAAGTGGAGTTAACTAGAGTGTGGGAGTCAGACATGATTATCTCTCACTGGTCTCAATCACTGATCACCCCAGTCTCCAAGATGGTGAGAAGTCCTCTTGTGGTAGCCACAGGGGAATCAACCCGATGAACACTGTCTAAGATTCTAGATTCTGCAATCAGAAGATATATGAATGGAGCTCGAGGAAGGTAAACGAGAGGACCAGACAGCTTGTAGACCTGACCGTGGATATATCGACCAAATATTCACATTTCACGAGGTTCTGGAACACTGACTGTATTTCTCTAACGGAAGGTGGCGTTTGGCTCCGTTGACCGAGAGGTCTTATGACAGTGTCTCTCAATGAAAGGGGGGTACCAAGTAGTACATAACTCTGTTAGTGGCTCTGTACCTCGGACACCCATGAGCGTATTAGAGCCTATGGTAAGTTGTGTACATTGAGTGCTGCCCATCAAGGATGTCCAGGCTCTCGATTCCTATTCAATTTGATTACAGATGTACTTATGGTGTCCCCCCCTTGCCCTCTGACTTCCCAGGGATTCATTTTGTCACACGAAAATCCTTAGTAGAACTAGAGTACACTGAAGACATACTCCTGTTAGGCGAAGATATTGACACGATGCAGAGGTCTGTGGACCAATGAGTCACAACTAATTGTTTCTCTCTCCGCTACCTAAAATGTTAACACTAGGGATATATTAGTTAGGTCTACTACTGTCAGACACTTTACTTCTCCCCACACGACTAAAACAAACAGTCAAAGACTTCATCAACTGGTGCCATGTTTTCATGAAACCACCCTGAACCCGCTTCAAACCTATTCCAACTTCCCTTAGCATGGCACGTGGAGGAAGAAGGCGGTTCGGAATGCACAGTACATGTCCAGGTCATTTCAGACGATGAAGGTTCACAACCTCGTCAATCGACTTGTCTGTCTTGCTTAGAACCCTTTTCCTCACCTCAACATTGCTCACATGGTGGTTCCACCAAACCCAAGCAATACTAGACATACGATCAAAATCCCTGTAACCGCTTCATGCCTTCTACCTTTAACAGACATATCTCACAGTCACTTAACAAAACAAAACGGACTGCAGTGCAGTATACTCCTCCTTTAATAGGTAGTCGGATATCTTGCTAGTCAGCGCTACAGGTGACGCATATTGGTAAATGCCAAACGACCCTTCTGTATGCAAGCTGAGATCTAGTCAGAAAACAGCCTGTTTGGGTTGATACAACTCCTCAAGTAAGTGAAGTGGTCGACAAACTCCACCACTTCACTCCCTACCATTAAACTAATAGTGGTTGTAGACCAGTCAGTTCTAGAGCATCGTCTTACATCTGACAAGTGTGTGCAAAACGCATGTCAAACACTCAGATTTATGCTCGGAACATCCTACATTTTGTCATTGCGACAATATCGTCTGTATACTCCAAATCACCTAGGTGACCTTCATCAAGTTAACCTATCCCGCTTAAGTCAGTCGCATAGATGCATATATCCACTTATACATACATACAGCTACGACGGAATTTAACAGGAACGGTGATAGCGGGCATCCCCCTGAGGAATACCACTAGTCACCGACAATTCACATTGACAACTCGACAGTACTCCATACACGGCTGTATGAAATCGAGTGGAGAACCTTGATTAGGGTTATTTACTTGCTCGACACTCCATTCACAGTGAGACACTGCCACCACACCTCAAGGTCGGCAGAGTCGAATACCACCTTCACGTAAATGTCGGCCACCAGTAAGTATGCGTGTTATCCCAGAACCTATTGGAGGGTGAAAATATGATCGATGCACCGTCATCATCACCCAGGTCTGAAACCTGCCTGGTTCTCATGAGTTTGTTGTTCTTGAGCTCCACTTCGGTGTCGTATAACTAACTAACTAACTAACTGTGGACTCTGATATCTTGTGGACAATATTAGGTAAACTGATTCCCCTATGGGTGTCACAAGAAGACTTTCTTGACTTCTTATACACTGGAATGATCAGAGAAATGGATCAGTCTGACGGCACTACCTCCGATTCCCAAGTCCCTTCATTACTATAATCAGTAAATTCCTACGACGTCTATTGCACGTTGCCAGGTCCTGCTGCCATGCAACGTTTTGGACTAGAAACAGACTTCTTAACTTTCAAGGAGAGATGAACGACCACATTCTACATCCCATTCAGGTTCAGGCTGAATGCTGGAATAGGAAACTGAAGCGTTAGTATAGGTCAGTTGAACTTCACTTCAAAACGTTCTGCCCAGCGTTCTAGTCATCTTTTCTGAAAATCCAGTGAGGTTTGCTAACCTTAGGGTGTAGGTTACCAACTGTCATTACAACAAAATTAATATCACTCCAGGTCTCCTCACGATGAGCATTGCTGTCACCTCTTAGACATGCTTACCTATCTACCCATTTACGTACATCAAGTTTTCATCTTCCGATCGAGCATGCACAGACCTAACAATAACTGCTTTGTTTCTTCAGACTAGTAAGACACAGACATACACGAGCCAGTGCTAATACATGATTGGAGCTCAAGCTGGTACTCGGTGAAAAGTAGAAATCATCTACTGATCCTATCCAACGATGGCTTATGGCACTGTGAACAATCTGTGTCCATCATCGGTTTGATGTCAGCGTATGACATGTGAGACAGTATCTCTCCTTATGCTTTTGCAACAGCAACATCGGTGTGGCAGTTCTGGTTTCCTAAGTGGAACACCTTACTGCTTGCACACCTCATTCAGCCAGCAGTAGGAATCCACCATCGGACCCCATCATGACGCAGCAACTTACACTATAATGGTAACTGCCAGAGTTCGTGACTAGCGGGGTGGCTGTCAACCAGTGCAACATGAAGACAGTAACTCAACGAGTTGGCACCATATCGTGAACTGAGAGAGAAAATACAAATAAACTTATTTTTCGCTGGAATCGGGGAGACGAAATGACGCCAGTTGGCGTAAACCTTCGGGAACCTAAATGGCCGATGTGTTTCCCCTTCTCTCGATGAAGACGAAAGTAAACATGGGGACAGAATGTCTGAACATTGTTTGAACCTGGCTGGCGAGGCTGCCCAGATTGCCAGAGAAGAGAAGGTATGGCATATAAGTGCTAGGAATCTGCAAGAGCACACAGAATGGGAGTGGACTCTCCAAACTGTCAACCGGAGAGGAGTCAATAGTCTGCTCCGATATTGTCACCCAGACGACGACGACGAGCACACTCAGTTTTGAAGTGGCTGTCGTAATGTCTCCAAGAGCATGAAAGGGTCACTCTCATTCAGTGTGAACCAGTATCCTGCAGGATCAGGATCATGACAGCAAGATTCAACTCAAAAGGAAGGATATTCGCAATCATATAATGCTACGCTATCCACCTACAAATGATGCAGATGAAGAAAAGAAGGATGAATTCTACAGACAACTGCAGTCACTAATGAACAAGACCCCACCCCAGTTGGCCACATCAAATGCATTCTAATCGGTGGGGTGACATGAATGGGAAACTGGGAGCAGACGACACAGAAAGAGAACTCATCATGCGTCGAGAAGCGCTCTGTGAAATGTATGAAAATGGAGGACTGTTTTCAGATTTCTGCGCATTCAACGATTCGTTGATTGGAGGCAGTGTGTACAAACACAAGGATATCCACAGAGCGAGCGACATGAATTTCACCAGATGGAAACATTGCACTAAAGATGAGATCGACTTCATCTCAATCTCAAGAGAGTGGAGATGCAGCCAGCCTCCTGGACACGAGATCAGATCAAGAAGGGGAGGAGACGTAGGTTCGGAACATCAGACCATCTAGTGCAAGGAATCTTCAAAATCAAGTTGAAGGCCTTGAAAGAAGTTGGTGCTAGACCACAGTTGAAGTTGAACATCCAGAACAGAAAGTGAACTGAAGGACGAAACCACAGAGGACATCCTCACGTCAGTCGTTCATCAGGACAAAATGTGAGATGTTGAACAACATCCGTGAAGAAACCTGGGTGGAAGAACACTGGAAGGTTATGAAAGGCATGTGGAAAGAAGCCTGCATAACCGTATCAGGAAGTAAGAAGGGGGATCGAGGCGAGGAGTAGATCTCGACTGACATGTGGAAGGCGATAGAGCAGGGGGAGGAAGATAGTGAAGCAGAAGATGAACCAGTGCATTGCATGGATGAATAGTGAAAAGAGGAAGTGAGTCCAGCGTTTAAAACACTACACTGCACAAAGAAGTGAAGAAGAGTGCATGGAAAGACAAAGGACACTTCTCCAGCAATCGCAAGTGAAGCAGAACAGGCTGCTGATAGGAGAGGTCTGACAACATTATACCAAATAACCTGGTTACTATCCAGGAAGAGATAAACATAGATGAAACCAGTGAGGGATGGTAAAGGAAACCTAGTCACCAAAGAGGAGAAACAAGGAGACAGTAGGCTGACCACTTCAAAATCTCTCGAATCGACCACCATCACCACCAACCTGGAACTCGTCCAGAAATAGCACCAGCAACAGCAGAACCATCAGTGAACTCTAGCCCTCCAACAAAAGCAAAAGATTTGAAGGCGATAAATTTACTGAATGCCGGGAAATCAGGAAGACAAGATGGAACTGCAGCAGAAGCACTGAAAACAGACGCCGAGACAGCAGCGGACATGCCCACTTCACTACTACAAAAGGTTTGTAAGGAAGGAAGGAAGGAAAGGTACCTGCCGATTTGAAGAAGGGCTGTCAGGTCAAACCCTCGAAGAAGGGTGGCGTATTTGCAAGAACTGGGGCGGAATCATGTTGTTGTCCACATCAAGCAAAATATTATGCCTCATCATCCTGGAGAGACCAAAAGATGCGCTGGGTTCGAACTTGTGACCGGAACATGCTGGTTAGATTTAGGAAGCACAAACCATATTTGGATCAAACCGCAACGCCATATCATCATCGTCATGGAATAGAGTACATAACGGCAACCAACTCTCCACCTTAACTTCATCGACTTTGAAAAGGCCTTCTACAGCGTCGACCAAGAAGTAATTTGGCAGGCAGCTGCTTCAACAATACGGTTTCAATGCCATAAAAGTCCATCAATCTCATTCTACAGCTATATAAAGACGCCAAGTGCCGAGAGATTCACAATGGGGAGCTTGGTGATCCCTTTGAAGTGAAATGAAGATGGGAGTAAGGCAAGACAAAGTTGTCTACTGTCGCCGATCATCTTCCTGATTGTCGTCCACTGGACTGGATCATACAACAGACTGTGAGGAGCGAGAAGAGGGGCATACGCTGGGTGGACCGATGAAAAGACCCTACATAATTTAGGTTTTGTCCATGATGACTTATGTTTAATGTCTTCTGTTGCACAGACTCGAAGATGTACAGGCGACAACTGACAAGTTGGAGAAGGAGGTAGGGCAGCAAAAGAAGCGCTTCGCATGAATATAGAGACAGAGGTGATGAAGCTACCAAACCAACAACAAGCAGCAATCACCATGAATGGGAGAAAGCTAAAGGAAGTTTTCTCCTTCGCCTACCTAGGCAGCATCGTTTCAACTACCGGCGGAACAGGCACAGATGACGATGTCAAAGCCAGAGAGGATCGGTCCGAAATCAGTGTGGGGATCTGTTACACTCAGCATAAATAGCAACACCCGGATTTCCAACACCAACTCAGTCAAGTCAGTGCTTCTATATGCTTCAAAAACTTGGCGTGTCACGAAAAGCATTTCCAGCAAAGTACAGACATTCATCAACAGCTGCCACCCACGCTCACTCGATACTGAAAACCGGATGGCCAGGAAGAATAAGCAGAGAGGAACTCTGGCCTTTCGACGAACTAACCAAGAACCTATAGCCCAACAAATATGCGGAAGAAGGTGGAGATGGATTGGGCATACACTGAGAAAACATTCGGAGACATCACTTGCCAGCTCCAGCCATGGAGTGGAATTCAAAGGGGAAACGATGGGTTGGGGCGTCCGAGGCGACAGAGCCATGCAGGAGGTGATGTGAGGAAGAAATGAAAACTTGTGAGCAGTCGTAGGGTCGGGTTTAAAAGACTGCAGAGAACAGAGAGAAATGGAGACGTGCTACTGAAGTCCCATGTTTCACCAGGGACAGATAACAGTAATAATATATTGATGCCCACTTTCATAAGTCTGGTGAGAGTGATGTCGTGTGGGACGCAATCGAAGGCTCTAGCTCCATCCAAAAACATAACATCGACCGGTTGCTTGCCTTCTCATCTGTTGGTCCAGTCATCCCAAGCGGTGGTCACTTTTGTGTAGGTAAGCGGTGACTATGAATCCACGTTGGATGGGATGAGGTATGACGTTTCCGCTAAGGAAGTTGAAAACAAATTTACAATCAGTGTGTTCATTACTCTAGGTTTCATGGACAGTGACATCACTGATCTGTAATTACATGGGTTTTTCGGCCCCTTCCCCTAAAGATTGGTGAAGAGATGGTGCACTTTCATTCCTTTGGGGTTTGACTTACTCACAACGAGTACGTAAACAGGCTGCGTGTGGATATGCTTAGTACTTCGGCACAATTTGGCAAATCCATCGGTCACATGCTATCACAGCGTTTGGGTTTTCTTTATTCTGAGTGTGGGTAGTTTAGCAAACTTACAGTTTGGTGATACCTTTGTGTCCTTTGGATTTTCATGGCAGTCCCGGAACTCTGTTGTGTTTGTGGACGTGGCCAATGGGCAAATCGCTGTGTTCACCTGCTTGTCAAATCTGTTCCTTAGACACCCTGGTGTCACCATATTGATGAAAGCTCCACCATTCGGTCATATGACAATGTTAAGACCTCTACTCATCGATATTTCATGTGGTATTCTTGGATTTTAACTTGGCTGTCTAGCTAGGTTACCCTGCTGCTTGAACTATTGGTTCCAAGTGGCTGTTGCATAGGTCGCACAACTGCATGTAGCTGAGAAAGTCCGACCCCACATAGGATGTGCGCCATCCTACTTCCCTGTATCTTTTTCTTCCGACCTCATTAACCTCACAAGTGTTATAAGGTGGACTTCTGCTTGCCTTCAAAATATCCTTCTCGGTAGCGTTGCAGATGACGTCATCCGCACGTTTCCAGCGCTCATCCACTGAATGGCAATGGCATTTTCTTGGGTCGGTTTCCACTGGTTCACAATTTCCAACTTCTGTCAATTAGCAGTATAGCGCTACTGTGGCTTCACTTCCGAGTGGTTGACCCCGCAGGTCACAGCTTCCCATTAGAACTTGGTGATATCCATCTGGTAGCAAGTTTCGAGATGAATGGGGATTTTTTCGGACAGTATTCATCATGGAGTGATATTATTTGGGGAACCATTGAAAATCTGGGAGGACTGAACAGCTGTTTCGTCCCTTCATTAATGTCAGTCCATGATGAATACTACGTCTAAATTATAAAAAGAAAACGGCATTGATATTTTACAATTTCTTTTGTTTTTTTTTTTGTTTAAAAGGTATTCTTTACCCTATCCTGATCATATGTATTGTCGTCATCATCGTCTTCAAAATTGGCAGAACAATATTACTTCATCATATCGTTCTAATCATCAATCTTTTGATCAATTGACTAATATTGATCAAGGATATTATAATATAACAAATGATAATTTACGTCAATCATATGGACAATCAACATATCGTTATTCTCATAGTTTACCAATTCATCGAATTACACCACAACGACATTTTAATTCACATCCTATTTTAATGAATTCTAATCATCGAATAAATAATAATAATAGTCTAGTAGAAGATAATCGAAATGAGCATACAATGATATGTGATGGTGGCGCTGGTGATACAACTGAATTTATTGATTCAATCACTTCAGTAATCCGTAGAAATAATCATCATCATTATAATGGAGTATTTAATGATGAATTATGCATTGATTTACCATCTACTCATCCATCATCTATTGGTACACATTTATCATCTACATCACCTAGTTTATTATCTGGTATTAATTCATGTTATACTGGATCAAATCGTGGTGATACAACAATTCGACCAATTGAATTTCATCCTATTGATGATGATAATAGAAATGGATTAACTGAAGATGATGATGATGATGATGATGATGTTGATCATCCTGTTTATGGATATTATATGATTGGTTATAATAATGAAACAAATGGACATTCATCACATATTCCATTAACTACCAGTACTACTACTACTACTATTACTAGTACTAGTACTACTACTGTTACCCCTATATTAAATAATGAATGTCGTCTAATAAATACAGCCTGTTTACATAGTAGTAACATGAATATTCGATCTATTAACCATAGAGTAATCAATCAAAGTAATAATATTAATGAATCAATTAATTCTATTCCAATATTATATACTAATAATCGATCATTATCAATTAGTAATATTAATCATCGGCATACAAATATTAATCTTCTTCCTGTGTCTGAATCTACCGGTGGTGGTGGTGGTGGTGATGTTGGCTCATCAATATCTAATTCAAGTATTATAACACCTCATTCTCTTCCTACTTATATACCTGGTCCTGATGAATTTTATACAATTAATGATTCTGATGATTTAGAAATTAATTGGCCACAAGAAACAGTTACTGGAGTAAATGGTTAAATCAACATTCATTATATTATCTAACTATATTTATTCATATAATGAATGTATTATGTTATTCGTGTGGAAACTGGTCATAATGTAAAAGAAAAAAAAAGGGGGGAGTGAAATACGATTGATTTTCCTATCCTTATCAATCAGCTGAGTTTAAGCCTCCTTGTATTTATCTTATTTGTCTTCTCAGATTGATTCATTTCACATAGATAGATGGATATATATACACACACACATAGTACCAAGTTGAAATTGCTGCCTTCTGTTGTCTGTATAGGCTTATATCTCTTCCCTAGTGTAACCTATTCATATTCATCTTTTTCTGTGCTATTTTTATTTTTATAAGGCGCCCAAAATTGTAAACTAATCACAATTTTGTATATAGAAAAATCTTATTTTATTGATTTTTTCTTTTTTTTTTTTATTATCTCTCTTCTATTATGTGTACACAATTTCATTTCATTATGTCTATGTGTTTTGTACACTTTGAGCATAGACTATACTCTCTCTTAAATATGTAATCATTGATTACTAATATTATCTCCTTGTTTCCATTCTTATGAATTAGTGTTGATTATCAATGTTAATTGTACATGTTGATGGATTACACATCAGTATGATATTTACATTATTGTGTGAACTAACCTCTAAGCATATACTACCGATGAGTGTACTTCACCCCCCGCCGCCCACCTACTACTCTATGGGATGCATCTCTTATTCTCATGTTTTTTTTTGCCCCCCTTTTCCCATATCGCTTTATTCCATCGTCATCATCATCATCATCATCATCATCATTGTTGTTTTCTACTTGTCGCACTGTTAGTAACAGTGCTGCTGGTGGTGTTCTTACTGTAAGTTTTCTCATCTTTCTTTTTTTGTTTTTGTTTGTTTGTTTGTTTTGTTTTACATTTAACCATCTTCATATTTGTAAATATAAATATCTCCTTGTATTTATACACGTTCATCATATATACATACACATAAATGTGCATTCATGCATGAAATAAACAAGACAAGCGTCTTCTCACTAAATTCTATCCAGTAAGTATACTATTAAATTATTATTATTATTATCATGGTCATTATTACAATAAGGAGTAAGGATTATGTGTGTGAGTGTGAGTGCATCTATCCTCGTCTTGTTCCATTTTCATCAGTCTGATAATACTCCGTTCTCATATACAAAGATACGTGTGTATATATTGTAAATGAATAACTGGAGTAATATTAGCTTTGATTGCCATTTCACAGTTTTTCCACCATCTGTACAAACAGTTGAATTCTCCTTCTGTATAAAGAAAGAAAATGTAAAAGGTAGACATTGAAATCTAACATGTAAGCCATTCACAATTAAAATGTGTTGTATTTTTATATTTAACTCGAGTAAGCTGATTGGATGGCGATTAAGATGTGTCGCTTTTTATCCCTGAGTGAACATCTATGTGAATGTGAAAAGATTCGATATTTCTGCTTTCTTTATAAGGAAAATACTTTTTTGTTGGTGTCCTTACAGCTACTGGCTAAAAACTTGTAGTCTACATGATACAATATATAGATTTAACACAGTACACTAGTATTGTTTACTGGATTACATTTTTTTCGATATAATTTATTCTTTATAATCTACTGATTAGCTAGGATAACTCTGGAAACAGTTAGAAATGACCATCAGCTTACACTATGACCTAAGATGCCAATAGATGAACAGCTATACTTAACATCTAAACAACAATATAGAGGGAGTTCCCATAGGATCACCCATGCGATCCTCAATTATCGTTGACATATTATTGGACCGTATGACTGTAAGAACGTTTAATCCGCCTTCAAAAATATGGTGTCAATATGTAGACGATACGGTTACAGTGTTGAAATCGGAGCGCACATTTAAAATCAGTAGTCAACGCAATTCAATTCATTTATGAATAAGAAAATAGTCAAGAGAAATTATCGATGTTAGATTGTAGAATAAGACGGAAACGAAATGGAAGTTTAGACACGAGTGTCTACAGTAGACCTTCACATTCAAACCGTTGCGTAGACTTCACATCGTCTCAGTTAAAGTTGGTAAAGTGTCGAGGTAACAGGGTCAAAAGATCTAAAACAAGGAACCAGATATACTAAAGGCACCTTTCTCATCAATAATAACCCTCTTAAATTAATTGATTAGTTGCTTAGGAATCGTAAGAAAAATATTACTAACACAAGTGTTAGTAGTAGTAATAATAGTGACAGTGCTGTGAAGACACAGTCGAAAACCTTTACAGTACTACCATACAAAGAAGGCATCTTAGAGACATTACGGAGGATTCTGAATAAGATTGGGTGGTATTTAAACCAACAAATTCATTTCGAAATAAGCTTTGTAGATTGAAAAATTCTATTGATCCAATTAGGCACAATAATTTAGTTTACCAAATTCTCTTCAACGATTGTGAGGTCAAATTTCTCAAAGGTCAAAGTAGTCCACTAGGGTCAGGCCAATTAAGCTATCCGAGCATAACAGCCTAGCTAGATCAAAATTAATTCATCCCATTAAGATAAGGAATCTAGAAGAAAACTGTTATAGTTATGCATACAATAATACACAACCATACAATAGGATGAGACAGGGTGAAAAACTAACATAACCGGGTGGAGGGAGAGATTGGTAACCATCGATTATTTGTTTATCGAATCAACACCTAATACATACAGCAATAGGAATAATTCATCACCTGTTCCAAAACTTAGGAATATCCATTTGGAAGGATGTCACTAATGAGCAATAAATCAGCTTGAAGTGAGTCGGTATTATTCTCTCATATTCTTTTTCTATCCCCTGTTCTTTATGTACTATTATGAAATGTGCCAACTTAAGCCAATATACTCGTGTGTGCCAAGTTCTATATTGATTTTCTCTATCTTCATTCTAGTTTATATGCATCAGGGTAAGGATATTAGACAGCCAAAGTGATCAAAGAAGGAGTATATGCTGTGTACTGCAAACCGAATAGTCTTCAACTTGTAATACTGCGCATATCCTTAAAGGCTTAGGGAGTATAATCTTGACGCTGAAATATTCTCTTGATATTATTATATAGTAACTGTCATCATGAAATACAATTAATGCACAGGAAAGTATTAACAGTCTTAGAAAGATTCTTTGTCCCTTAGCACCAATAACAGTTCGACTCGGTGTTGCAGATCATTGAGCTGGAGTTCATTGGTTTACAGCTGTCTAATTTTGTCAATTCACGATGTTACACGGCTATACTGAGTTTGTACATCTGGTTCACTTATGATTGGTTAGTACGTTCGTCGCGACATTCTAAGGTTCTGATTTTAATCTCTGAGGATCCTGTGGGGGGGGGGGTGTACTTCTGAGAAGTCTCATACTAGGACGAAGCAGCTATCCAGTGCTCTCAAAGTTTTCAATAGGAATATGTCCATGTGCCTGGATGAATGTATTACAATGAGAAAGGTTTATTTTATATACGGAAATTAGTATAGTTTTACCAACTTACTGAATCTTCGACCATGCGACATTTATTTGGAATCGGTGGATGCTTTCGATATGTTACTGGTCTTGGCTTTGATTGATCTGGTAAATTAGTCAAGAATTATGTTAAGGGGAAATCGAAAGTTTCATTACAACATTATTGTTGGTTTCTTAGCAGGTAGGATTCAATGGTCTAGAGTCATGGGTTCGAGTCCCGGTGCACTTAACAAGGTTTGGGTAAGCAAAATAGATGTGCAGAACATTGCTGAGTGAATTTCAACTGGTTTTGAAGTTGATATGTACTGCCTACTACTGGTGAACTGTGAGAAAACTATTATCGTTTTCTACTGTTTGCTAGTTGTATTCAAAAGGGTGCATATCATCCAGTTCAGGTAGACAAAATACATTAACAGTAGCCGTTTTTGATCTACAATCAGCAAAAATGGAATGTTGTATAGATCTCTTGATATCGATGGTAGTGAACTTCAGCACCCAAGTTTCAAACTCGTCAGCAAGCAATGTTCTTATTGAGACTGTAACATCCCACCTGTCACTTCAAACGCTAAACCATGAGCGTGAGAGCCACCTATTGTCCAATGGATCGTAGTTATCAATATTTATCGATAGTTTTTACTATGCTGGGTCGAATTGATTGATCTTTGTTACTATGTGGGTGGCTATACGATGAGGGATGGATATTCCTACTGTGAGGCATATGAATCTAGCTGATGAGTTAGTTGTAAATAGGATTAAACTTGTCCTGATTTCCCGTGCTAGCTACCGTCAACAATGAATATTCAGGCATCTTTGGATAGACACCTTTATACCAACATAGATAGATCCAGAATAACATCAAGAGATTACAAGTAACAATGAAATGTTATATAATTACTTTGATATTATTCAGAAATTATTCTCATATTTAATATGAAAGAATAAACAGGCAAAAAGGATATTCGCTATTCTTGCACCATAACGAAATCGTTTTTGACAGTTACACTTGCATAGAACTGTCTGAGATCCAGGCGGTGCAATATTGATTATAAAGAATAAATTTGTCTTCGGTATTTGTTTAATCCACCAACGTCTGAAACAGTGAAGTTTGTACATTTTTATTGGTTTTGTAAAGAAGAGAAAAAAAAGGAAAATAATGAGATTAGAAAAAAAAACTATGTTACCCCCCAGTACAAGAATTTAGAGTTACTATCTTACGTAATTTGAAACAAAAATCAGCTTATAGTTTGAAGCATTTTTCATTATGCAGGAAACTTACCTTCCAGTTGGAGACAAGACTCAGTCAAATATAACCTATCCTCCTCAACTCTATCTCCTCCTTTGCCATCATCTCTTATAAATTCTTCAATTGACGACCATTGGAAATCATGAAAGCTATTGAAACCGCATTCTTAGTCTCCTATGTTCCTGCCTTCCATTTCATATAGAACATCTCAACGTCTGAACTCTATGCCAAATAAGACAACTAGCATCGCTCACCAAAAATCTGCAATCTCTAGCCACGCATGCATGGTATGTCTCTGAGACATGTATACAGCATCCCTCACGTGACCAGTATTGTGAATCTTCAAAATTCACCTTCCGAGTATCATGAGACCTAGTGGCTAGCTTTCATGGACTCACTGGTGTCGGCATACAATTGATCTGAAGGGCAGAAAGTGAGCTTCCCGACTGGATGCCAGTGAACAACCGTTTATGGGATGTTCGACTAGGAAAGATTGTGAGATTAGGCAATGCCTATCGGTAATCTTGGCTTACACACACACACATACACACCCAGAGAGTGCAGTTCGGATAGTGCAAAGGATGAATTCTATGAGAAGCTGTCAACTTTACTACATATAGCAAAATGTTGAGATGTAGCCACGATGGTAGGTGACTTTAATGCTCAAGTAGTGAAGTTGAGCCATTGGAAAATACATCTTAGGGGTATCGACAGAATTTTGTACCAACCAGTGAACTGACAGTGGTGACGATCAGTTGTAATTTTGTTGAGACAATCCCTCGTTTCTGACCAGCACTAACTTCAAGCATTAGGAGAGATACTGTCTCACATGTCATCCTCTGACATCAAACCGATGGTGGATACAAATAGATCATATTGCTATAAGCCATCTTTGGATAGGATCGGTAGATGATTTCTGCTCTTTCTGGCGTACCACATTGGATTACGATCACGCGTTATCAAACCTGAAACAATTCACAGAAGCAGGACCCGATACTCTGCCACCTGGCGTTTTCAAGGATGAAGGCAGGAAATCGATGATTAAAGTACCGGATCTACTAGGTAGTGTATGTGAATCAGCAGCATTGCCATCAAGCTGGTCTAGTTCACTCGTCATCCCAGTTTATAAGGAGCTGAAGAAGTCTTCTAGTGACAACCATAGGGGAATTAGCTACTTCCTAGGGCTCATAGTTACGCGATATCTAACAGTTGCTCGAGAACAGCTAGCCCCAGAAAACCAGAAAGGTTTCAGGCCTGGACAGGGATCCGTCGAGCAGATTTCCATCCTCCGACAGATGTTTGAACACAGGCCCACTTACCTTCTAGTGGTTGACGCTTGTCACATTTCTTGACTCTTTGCATTGTGAAGTGTTGTGGCAGGTTGGGACTGGGAAGGGCGAACCCTACCAGAGACGTCCACTGTTACCCTTCTTATTTATTTTCGTCAAAGACGTACTTCTGGGTATAACCTTAGGCACATGTGACGTCACAGGGATCGATCTGTTGCATGGAGGCATCTGGTGACTTGGAGTATGCGGACAAAATTGTCGTGGCAAGTGAGGGCACTGAGAAAAATAGGTCTTCTGAACGTACGCGTTGAGCATAAATCTGAGCGTTTGGCTGGCACCTGTCAAATGTAAGATGAATCTCCATGACTGGTCTACTGCAACCACCTTCAGCTTAGTGATAGAGGGAGTGATGTGGTAGGATATATCGACCACTTCACTGAGTTGGGGAGTTTTATCGACCCGAACAGGCTTGTTGCTGACGAAACCTCAACGTGGATACAGAAGGCTCGTTTTACACTTACCAACTTGCGCCATCTTTATGGCTGACTAGCGAGATATCCAACTGTCTATTAAAGGACAAGTATACTGCTCTGCAGTCCGTTCTCTCCCGTTATACTGCTGTGGAACATGGTCAGTAAAACCCGAAGACATGGAATGACTACACGGCTTTGATCGTAGGTATCTTCTCAGCATTGCTGGCATTCGGTGGAATCATCATGGGGGCACTGTTAAGGTCAGGCGAGGGCACCGCGTATCTCGATGCGCCATGCTGGTGGAAGTTGGAATAGAGTGTATGAGGTTTCAGGGTGGAATCACGAAGATATTGGACCAGTTGATGAAGTCCCTAAGTGTTGGTTTGAAAGGTGTGAGGAGATGTAGACTGCTTGATTGGATCCTCGAGACGATAGGAATCACTAGTTGGGGACTGACTTTTGGTGTTATGGCTGAATATCGGTCACAGTGGCACAGATGTATTCACTCCTTAGCATCTAAAGTCTGAATATTCGCACTCAACTTTATCTTCATATTCTCTTCTCTGATATCGGTCTCTTTCTATCTACCTATTTTTTGTGTACTAATGTGAAGTGTAGCAATTTCAGCCAATGTATCTGTGTGCGAGGTTCTATGTGGGTTTTGTAAGTCAGACTTAGTTGAAGAATCATTTGAAACTAGGGAGGTTCGGATAGATGTTTCTCCTTAGAGTAAGTATCACCCTCAGTACTTCATTCCCATACGGAGTCAAAAGGAGTACTATTCAGTTTTAAGCGAATTTTTTTTTATATTTGGAAAGGTACAATCAATGCGATCACCACATTAGACCTGGTTAATCATGCAGGCGGTAGCCAGTGATTATGACTTCAGAAAACTCTTTTCAATACAAATAAATTCACTGATAAGAACAGTATTCGTTTGGTAGTTTTATTCGTTTCAAGATGGAATTTCAGAAGTTTTAATGAGCAACCATTTCGAGAATGAGGAGAATTAGTCACCAATAGCATTCAATAATAGTCAGGTTATATCATAAATTGACAAGTTGAGAAATGTGAGCCACTGAATCCCAACCCACTGATCGGTATGATGTACTTAAGACTAGTGGTGTAAATATTTCTTAAACAATACCTAATGTAGAGTATCATATTCTACATGCATGACTCTACTAAAAAAAAAGTAGATTTATGATGAGAAATTGCAGCCAGTGGGATCAACCGGGTTGAGTTTGTTGATAAATATTCAAGGGTACCACTGAATGATGTTTGTCCTATGTCGCAAATTAGAATCCAAATTATTGACTGAGTGGTAATGTGTTCGACATGAGACGTGACATAGTCGTAGGTGTGCACTACTGAAAAGTTCTCAGTGAAGATGAAACAGTTGTATAATTTTTACAGGATTTCAGTGGTTCTTCATAATGAAAAAGCCATCTCTAAAATGTTGATTTTGTTCACTATCTTAGTTGCTTGTTTATATATAGGCTAGTGAATTCAGGATGGATCTACCAAGTGATTTGAAATTCACTGGTATCAAGGTACTTTATGAGTTTCATCGATTGTAAAGTTAATTATCAAGGTCAACTAAGTTCGAATATAATACTCAGTCAGATAGGTGTCATTTGTGCTCAACTGTTGTATGAAGTAACAATATTGACACTGTATTGAATGGATGAAGGTGAGAAAACCTACAATCGGAGAAACTGATCAATAATTAAACGGATTATATTCCTAGATAAGTATCTGTCAAAAGACCAAAATATCCACAGAATAATGAGGATCATAGGTGCTAAAATCGTATTATTCTAGTTCACCCTGAATATCTAACTGTTAGATACATTTTAGATTCACTTCAATGGCTGATAGGAAGTGACTTAAAAGAAAATCAGCATTCTAGTGCATCCTACTGTATGGCCAGGAAAAGTCTTATTGGTCGACTTTTGTCCTACAGTTGACCAATCAGAAGAAGATAATGTTTGACCTAATGGTTCTATATGTTTATGAAATGAGTAAATGGATTTGAACTGGTACCACATTTTTCATTTTCCGTCTTTGAACCCCTTCAGCCTAACCCTATGCGCTGAAGTAAACAGTGACTGTGTGACTAACGTCTGTATTACTGATATCGTGGTTCTACTACATATGACACATGGTCTATGCTACAAAGGTAACAGTAATCAAACACCTAAAACCGTCTCATGTTCTGGATGTTTAAAATGGTTATGTTTCACAGCCCTAGAGTGAAACAGAGTGAACAGTACACTGGATTGCTAGTAGGCAGTTGGAAATCTAACTACAGTCAAAGTTACTGATTCAAATAAGTTGAAGTGGTTAATACGTTCAAACGATTCACTCACTCTAGCTAAGTGTGAGACATCAACACAGCCATGAAGGAATAACTTGACAAAATACGGAATACACAATTCAAGGATTCTCAACTTCATAGTCAAACATTTTAGATGACCATGAATCATGTGAGAGTCTCCAAATACAACGAATATGTCATCCATGTACTTTAAAGCATTTCCCCCCAAAGAGAATCAACCTTCATAAATACATCTAGGAAATGGTCAAAGAAAAGTGGAGTGCACATCTCTGACTGGCACAACTCACTGTAAAAAATTCACCTAGTATCTGAACAGACAATTTTTAAAAAATCCAGTGCGCTTCTTACATGACAGGTGAGAGGTGGCAGTTACAACGCATGTGAAATCATGTATCGTTCGTCAGCCGCACAGTCTCTTAATATTGCGGTGGTTCGCAAAAGTAGTAGTAGTAGTAGCACTACTAAAAGTAGTGTGAATAATAGTAGTAGTGTGAGTACTAGTAGTAGTAATAGTAGCAGTAGTGTGAGTAGTAGTAGCGGAAGGGTGAGTAATAGTAGTAGTACTAGTGAGGGTAGTAGGAGTAGTAGAAGTAGTAGTGGTGGTGGCGTGAGTAGTAGTAGTGCGAGTAGTAGTAGTAGTAGCAGTGTCAGTAACAGCAGTGTGAGTAGTAGTATTAGTAGTGCAAGCAGTAGTAGTAGTAGTGTTAACATTAGCAGTATTAGAAGTGTTGGTAGTATTAGTAATACTGTGAATGATAATAGTAGCGGTAGTGGGAGTAGCAGTAGTAGTAGCACTGGTGTGGGTATTATTATTATTATTAGTAGTAGTAGTGGTGTGAGTAGTAGTATTAGTGGTGTGAATAGTAGTAGCAGTGGTGTGAGTAGTATTATTACAAACAGTAGTATTAGTCGTAGCAGTAGTAGTAGAAGTAGTGTGACTAGTAGTAGTGGTAGTGTGAGCAGTATTAGTGCTACTATGAGTAGTAGTTGTTGTTGTTGTGGTGGTGGTGTGAGCGATAGCAGTAGTACTAGTGAGAGTAGTACTAATAGTGGTGTCAGTATTAATAGAAGTTTTGTGAGCATTATTATTAGGAACACTACTATTTGTAGCAGTAGCGCGAGTAGTGGTAGAGTGAATAGCAGTAGTAATAATAGTGATAGTAGCATTGGTGTGGTTAGTAGTAGGAGTAGTGTGAATAGTAGTAGTAGTATTGTCGGTCGGAATAATGGTGTCAGCAGCAGAAGTAGTAGTAGTGTAAGTACTAGTAGTTGTAGTAGCAATATTGCGAATAGTAATAATAATAATAGTAGTAGCGTGAGTAGCAGTGATAGTGTAGGTAGTAGTATTACCGTGAGTAGTATTACCAGTAATATTGTGAGTAGCATTAGTAGTAGTAGGAGTAGCAGCTGTGTGAGCAGTAGTAGCAGCAGTGTGAGAAATAGTAGCAGTAGTATTGGTAGTATTAGCATTGCGAGTAATAGTAGTGTGAGCAGCATTAGTCGTAGTAGTAGTAGTGTGAGTCGCAGCAGTAGCAGTAATATCGTTAGTAGTAGGTGGTATTCGTAGTAGTAGTAGTAGTAGTAGTCGTATTGGTAGAAGTGTGTGAGTAGTAGTAGCAGTAGTAGTACTGTGAGTAGTAGTATTATTATTGTGCGTAGTACTAGGCATAGTAGTATTTGAAGTGGTAGTATTGTGAGTACTAGCAGTATTGCGAGTAGTATCAGTAGTATTAGTGTGAGTAATATTAGTATTAGTAGTAGTGTTAGTGATAGTATAAGCGTGATTAGTAGTGTGAGTAGTACTGTTTTGAGCAGTAGTAGTAGTGGCAGATTGATTATTGCTAGTAGCAATACTAGTAGTAGTAGTAGTAGCGTGAGGAGAAGCAGTGGCATTGTGAGTGGTATTAGTCGTAGTATGAGTATTAGCAGCAGTGATAGTGTGAGTAGTGTTAGTAATAGTATTGTGAGTATTAATAGTAGCAGGATTGTTATTATTAATAGTACTAGTAGCAGTAGTAGTAGTGTGATTAGTAGCATCAGTAGGGTGGGTATTAGTAGGGTTTTGAGTAGTGGTGGCAGTATTAGTACCAGCAGAGTGAGTATTAGCATTAATATGAGCAGTAGTAGTAGTGTGAGTAGATGCATGGTATCGTGCGTAGTATCAGTGGTATTATTATTAGTAGTGTTAGTGTGAATAGTGGTAGTAGTAGTGTGTGTAGTAGTAGTAGTAGTATTAACAGTGTTAGTAGTAGCGGTATGAAAAATAGTACTAGTAGTGTAGGTAGCAGTAGTAGTATTTGTAACAATAGTTTTGTAAGTAGTGCTAGTATCGCGAGTACCGGTAGAAGTAGTTATGTGAGCAGCAGTATTACTAGTAGTAGCAGTGGTGTCAGTAGTAGCGCTGGTAGTGTTAGTAGTGGTAGCAGCAGCATTAGTACTGTGAGTATTAATATTCGTATTGTGAGTAGTACCAGTAATAGGAGTATTCGTATTAGTAGTATTTTGAGTTGTGGTAGTATTATTGTGAGTAGTATTAGTAGGAATATTAATGTGAGTATTATTTGTGTATTCAGTACTAGTAGTAGTAGTGTGAGTAGTAATAATAGTAGTAGTGTAAGTAGTAGTATTAGTCTTGTGAGTAGTGGTAGTAACAGTAGTGTGAGTAGTAGTATTAGCAGTAGTAGTACTGATAGTAATAGTCTTTGTAGTATCATTAGCGGTGTGAGTAGTTATAGTAATAGTAGTGTGCGAAGTAGTAGTTATAGTGTGAGTAATATTATGAGCGGTAGTTTTATTATTATTAGTAGTGTGAGTAGTAGTAATAGTAGCAGCGTGAGTATAGTAGTATTAGTAGTAGCAGAAGTAGTAATAATAGCAGTAGTAGTAGTACTAGTATTGTGAGTAGTGGTAGTAGTAATATTGTGAGTATTAGTAGTAGCAGTAGTGTGAGCAGTAGAAGTATTAGTGTAAGTAGTAGCAATAATGGTGTCAGTAGTAATATGATTAGTGTGAGTAATAGTATTAGTAGTAGTGCTAGTATTAGCAGTAGTAGTAGTGTGAGCAGAGTAACAGTGGTAGTCTTAGTAGTGGTATGAGTTGCAGTGTGTAGAGTATTAGTAGTGTGAGTAGTAGTACTAGTGTGTGAGTTGTAGTGGTAATGTTGGTAGTAATAGTACTATTAGTAGCGCAGTGTGTAGTATTAGTAGTGTGAGTAGTAGTACTAGTGGTGTGAGTTGTAGTGGTAATGTTGGTAGTAATAGTACTATTAGTATCAGTAGTAGTAGTAGTAGAAACATTTCCTTTAGTAGTATTGTGACTAGTAGCAATAATTTGAGTAGCGATAGTACTAGTAGTAGTATCAGTAGTGTGAGTCGTAGTAGTATTAGTGCGAGTAGTAGGAGTAATGTTAGTAGTAGTACTAGTGGTAGTGTGAGCAGTATCAGTATTATTGTGAGTAGCAGTAGTAGAAGTTTTAGTAGTAGTATTGCCAGTAGTAGTTGTTGTTGTTGTATTAGTAATATTGTGAGTAGTAGTAGTATCAATGGTATTAGTATTATTGTGAGTAGTAGTAGTAATAGTTGTAGCATTAATATTATGAGTAGTAGTAGTATTGCGAGAAGTATTATTAATAATAGTAGCCGTGGCAGTGAGAGTACTTGTGCTGAAGGGGTGTGAGTAATAAGATTATTAGTGTGAGTAGCAGTAGTAGTGTGAGTAATATCAGTGTTACTAGTGTGAGAAGCAGCAGTAATAGTAGTAGCAGTAGTGGTAATAGTCTGAGTAGTAGAAGTAGTAGTGTGATTAGTATTACTATTGGTGTGAGTAGTAGTAGTAGTATTCGTGTGAGTAGTAGTATTGGTCTGCGTAGTAGTAGTAATACTCGTAGTTTCAGTAATGTTGTGAGTAGTAACAGTAGTATGAGTAGTTGTAGAAATGTGAATAGCAGCAGTAGTGTGAGTAGTAGTTGTAGTCGTAGCAGTGTGAGCAGTAGTAGCAGTGTTGTGAGGAAGAGTAATATCGGTGCTATTTATTAGTGTGAGTAGCAGCAGTAGTAGTAATAGTAGTAGTCGTGTGAGTAATATTAATAGTAGCAGTGGTGTGAGTAGTATCTGTAGTAATAATATTAGTGGTTTTGTGAGCAGTAGTAGCAGCGTAAGTAGCAGCACCAGTGTGTGTAGTCGTAGTAGTAGTGGTGTGAGTATTAGTAGTAGTAGTGGTAGTAGTAGTAATAGTAGTCTTAATAGGTAGTATTGTTATTATTAGTAGTAACAGTGTGAGTACTAGTAGTTTGAGTAGCAGTAGTAGGAGTAGTAGTGGTGTGAGTAGCAGTAGTAGTAGTAGTAGTGTGTGCAGTATTAGTAGTAATAGTTGGTATTTGCAGTGGTAGTAGTAGTAGTGTGAGTAGTTGTATTAGTTGTATTGGCATGAGTAGTAGTAGTTTTAGTAGCAGTATTGTGAGTAGTAGTAGTGTGATTAGTAGTAGTAGCGTGAGTAGTTTTAGTAGTAGTGTGTGTGTGTGTGCAGTAGTAGTGGTAGTGTGAGTAAAAATAGTAGTAGTGGTGGTAGTATTATGAGTAGTAGTAATAGTAGTAGTGGTAGTAGGAGTGTGAGTAGTGGTTGCTGTTTGAGTAGTAGTATTAGTGTGAGTAGTACTAGTATTATTGTGAGTAGTAGTAGTACCGCGAGTAGTAGTAGTGTGAGCAGAAACAGTAGTAGTAGTGGCGATGGTTTTATTATTAGTTGTGAAAGCAGTGGTGTTAGTTATATTAGTAATAGTAGTAATATTGGTGTCAGTAGTAGTAGGAGGAGTAGTAGTATAAGTAGCGTAACTAGTAGTTGTAGTTTGAGGAGTTATAGCAGCAGTAGTGTGAGTAGTTATAATGAGAGTATTAGTAGCAGTATTAGCATTAGTAGTAGTATGAGTAGTAGTAGTAGTAGTAGAATTAGTAATAATAGTAGTAGTTGTAGTAGTAGTAATACTGACATTAGTATTAGTAATGGTAGTAGTAGTAGGGGTGTGAATAGTAGCAGTAGTAGTTTGAGTAGTAGTAGTAGTACTAGTAGCAGTAGTAATAGTAATAGTATCACTTTATCAATATTGGATTAGTAAATATGTTTTTATTTAAATATATATAAATTCATATGGATTACTTACCGTCCTCCACATTCATTGCAATATTCTCCTGTGAATTGTGTTTCATAAAGCATTCCATTTGTAGATGTTTGTGTATTGTATATTGTTTGCTTATGTATAGCAGTTGACTGTTTTAAATGTTTACCTATCATAACATTGAAGGCAATAAATCTTTCTGTACATGATATCAACGGTTGTTTACAGTCTTCTAAACGATTAGCTAACTGTGGCATACGTTCTCTCACAATTTCACAGATTGCTTCACATGCATAACGTCCAGTGAAACTGCTTGTACCTGCACCGGAATGACAACGTTGTTGTACAGATCGATGAACACAGGCTAATAAACTGCCTGGTATAAGTTTACCTCCTTTACCTAATATTCCTGAGCCTAAATGAATTGAATTCGATATAGTAGTTCCTGTTATCAATGATTCTGTTTCATTTAAAACTTCATCCATATTACTATGATTATAAATATTAACAGTCTCTGATTGTGAATCCAATATCGATTGAATTTGTGCACTCTGTTCTTTACGACATGTTTCTATAGCTGTCAATGCTTTCAATTGAGCATCATAAGGATCTTGATGATCAAATCGTCCATAAATTTCATCGATTGGTTCTTCTCTTAATTCTATTGATTCAGTTATTGTCAACTTTGACACTGAATCAATTATTGATTGATTTTCTATCAAAGTATTATTTCTCATAGGTGTTATTACTTTATCATCTGGAATATGTTGTGTTGTTGTTGTTCTTGTCTATCTTCAAGTCTACTTGAATATGATCTTTGATTCAATGTATTCAATGACTGAAAATGTTCATCAGATGATAAATCTTGAAAATTATTATTCATATTAGCATTCTCATCTATACCATGATAAATTGGATTTTGATGAATTAGGAAATCTTCACGTGGTATATTATCTTCATTATTAATGATGATATGCCTAGCATTTTCATAAAATGAAATCGTCTCAGTATCTACTGATTTATGTGGTTCAGCATATAAACCCCATTCTATAGAATAAATAATCAACAACAATATGTAAAATTATTATACAAATTGAAAAACTTAAATAAATCATGAAGTTGTTTATTGATATCCCCCCCCCTCAATGAACATCGAATTCCGTTTCCGTTTTCAAAAACTGAATGCTTTAACTGATAACTTATTGGCAATACCTTGACAAATATATTATCCACTGACTATCTAGTTTTGAAAAGATAGAATATCTTTAGAGATAAATTTCATACTTGTTAACACACTTGTCAGCAAGGTGTATCTCCATCTTTGATTCAATTCCATCATCAGCATACGGGATTAGACAATGTGAGATTGGTTCCCCTCTAGTGACTAATCACTATAAAGTTATGATGTATGTAACACTGAGTCATTAGAAACTGATCCAATTTATCTGCTGGTTTTCTTTATCAGATATAGAGGTTCATATCGCTCATCTCAGCTTATTAATCCTATAGGTGTGTAATCAAGGATCTTGTCCAATGTCTATTTCACCCTCTCCATAATTACTACTGAATATTCTAGATAGAAAGTTTTTTCACTTTTTCAAACGTGATTTCACTTGGCTACCGTGTCCATTTATCATTTCTGTCAAACTAAAATTGCAAGGGATATCGAGGCATTCATGCAGGAGCCCATATGCCAATAGACACCGATCAATTTAGTCCACTCAACGATAGGGAAGAGATTGGCCCAAAGTTCGAGTCCCCATAAAAACAACATCGTTCACTGGGAGCCAGTTAGGCCTAACCGACGAAACTGTGGATTCAGCTGCTAGCCAGCATCCATCATTACCTAGAGTCAATATGTCTATGTCACTGAGTCGTATAATTAACCTGGAAAACTTTACGGTGCAAAGAAGGTTATGATGAACTGATATCCTGGAGAAAGGTATACAATTTTCACACCACTTAACAGCTGTCCTGCAAACCTTTATCCGCCTCCTTCAACAACTATATGAAGACGCCACATGCCAAGTAATTCACAATGGGAAGCCCAGTGATGCCTTCGAAGTGAAGTGAAGACAGAGTGAAACAAGGCTGCCGCCTACTATCACCCATGATATTCCTGATTGTGTTGTGGTCGACTGGATCATGCAGCAAACAGTGGGGAGTGGGAAGAGGGGGATACGCTGGACTGCGGAAAAGAACCTAGAAGATCTAGATTTCGCCGATGACTTGTGTCTGATGTCACACACACTTGAAGATCTACAGGCAAAAACTAACAAGTTGATAGAAGAGGCAGCGAAGACGGGACTTCAGGGAATATAGAGAAGACAGAAGTGATGAAGATACCTCACCAACAACTCTAACAACAACAAACTCCAATCACCATCAACGGGAGAAACTTAAAGGAAGTAACCTCCTTCACGTATTTAGGCAGCGCTATTTCGACTACAGGTGGCGGCACAGACGAGGATGTCAAACTCAGAATCGGAAAAGCAAGACAGGCGTTCATTAGCCTGAAACCAGTGTGGAGATCTTCTGCACTCAGCATGTGGAACAAGATCCGGATTTTCAACACCAACGTCAATTCAGTGCTTCTGTGTGATGGTTGAGAACTTGGCGCGTTACGAAAGGGATTTCCAATAAACTACAGACATTCATCAACAACTGCTTACGCTGTCTCGCTACTGAAGATCAGATGGCCAGAATAATAAGAATAAGCAACAAGGAGCTCTGGGAACGAACCAACCAAGAACCTATCACCCAACAAATATGCAGTGGAAGGAAGTGGAGATGGATTGGATAGGGCATACACTGAGAAGGCCGATTGGGGACATCACGCGTCAGGCCCTCGAGTGGAATCCCCATGGGAAGCTACGAGTTGGGCGTATAAGGAGAGGGTGACATGGAGGAGGTCGTGCGAGGAGGAAATGAGAGCTTGTGGGCTGTGGTGGAGCCAAGTTGAAAAGATTTCAGAGAAGAGAGTGGAGTGGAGACGTGCTACTGAAGCCCTATGTTCCATTAGGAACCCAAGGGACTAATAATAATAATAATAATAATAATAATAATAATAATAACAGCTGTTCCATTCACTGTGTTTCGCGATTTCTCGAGACTTCACAAACTTGTATGATCTCAACACTCTCCAACTTCATTACTGACAGTAGCAAACAATCATTATTCTTCTACTGCTCATAGTTCAACGAAGACGCATAAGCAGTTATATTGAGAAATTGTCTAGCAGGCTCACTGAGAAAGAGTAAGGTATGTTGGCCTCACTTAACTTAAACCAGCTCAGTTTCACAGAGGAGAAAGAATAGTGCCTCTCAACTACATTTTAGAACATTTAACCGACTATGACCTTTCAGTAAAATGTAGAAAGCAACTTTAGTGTCATCTGTAGAGTAAGTTCACGTAGTATGAAAGATGTGTACTCTTGAAATTTCCTCAAACTACGGAAGCTATGCCAAATAATACTTTGAGTCCTAGACTCTGCATTCAAAAGACGTTTATTCAGTCATTCACTTCGTGGTTACTGTGAATTTTCAAAGATTAGAAAACATCAAAGCATGAATACATCTGCACGATCGTGACCGATTTTCATATTAAGGTACGTGGTGGCTTGGCATGCACACGCCTGACTTCAACATTCGTGGCATATTGATTCCACCAAACGTGAGCAATGCTACGAGGATATGTGTGATCAAAAATCTGTAATCGCTCCAAACCTTCTACTTCCAACGGCCATATCTCACAGCTGTACAAGAGGACACAGCCTGCAGCGCAATATACTTATCCTTTCATAGATAGTCGGATATCTCGCCGATGTCATACGTGACGTAAGCTGGTAAATGCTAAACGAGCTTCTGTATCCCAGCTAAGGCTTTGTCACTGAGCACTGAGATGATCTCCATAAAATGGATCGATCCCTCTGAAGTTAGATGAAGTTAAACAGGAATGGTGACAGTAGAAATCCCTGGCGAACACCAGAAGTTGTCATTAATTCATATAACACCTCTTACGTGGCTTCACGACTTCAAGTAGAGACTTTGATTAGCGTTAGATACCTTCTGGATATTTCCTTCACAGTCGGACGCTGCTACAACACCTCATGATTGACTTAAACCATTGGCCTCTTTAGGTCAAGAAGTAGGTATGTCTATGTTTCAGGATCCGTCACAGGGTGAAAATACGATCAATACACACTTGTTCATTTCTGAAACTGCTGAAGTACTACTCACTAGGCTAAAACATTTGTCACTATTAGTTTTAGGATATTTTTAATTTAGACATGATATTCGTATTGAAGGCAATGTTTTCCAGACCTATTTACCAGTGGCTTTCATTACAGTTTGATAATCGTCAGAAGATTGAGAACATTCAATTGATACTGAGTGATGAGTGAAGGTGAAATGAATATGTGAGCTGTGAGAAGATTTGAACCGGTAACCTCCAGATTACGGATCTACTACCCTACCGTATAAGCTGAGATCAAGAGGTTGTAGGACATTACGAATTCGTATGACAGTTGAAGAAAACCCTTGATTATTGAATACAAATGACGATCTGGTCAACACTTAGGTCTAGAAACTAAGTTCTTAGATCACTGAACCGGAAACCTGTAAGTTCTAATCCAGTGGTGACACAGGTTATCATATCACCTTTAATTACTCCATCTCAGATAGTAGAACTGATACTATGAATTAACCAAACTTAAAATTGGTTTTTCGTTTAATTTCAATCCCTCGACTGAGTGGTGAAGATGTACACCATCAAACCTGACCTCGATATCTCATAGAATCGTGGTTATGCACTGTCGTCAATGATTCCCAAATGTAGGCTGAAACAGTTGTCCAGCATTCTCAGTTTTCAACAATTCTTCAGGTGCTATGAATCTATGAAACTTATCTACACTAAAATTAATCTATCAATCACCACTCAGAAACCAACACATTAGGAATATATGCCTTGAAAGGTAAAGAAATAGTGTTCCAACTGTCATTTAGGGGATAGTCTAAAAATTAAGGACTGACAGAAACAATTTCTACGGAACCTCTGTGTATAACCTACTAAGTTGTGTATAACTCTTCGGAGATTCTTATATTCACCAAGTCTACAACTCTATATATTAACTAAGAAATGAATGATTATTAAAATTCTCTGTAATGATATTGTTTCATTGTCTTTCTACATCAATATTTTCTCTCCTACGCATTCACAACTAACGGTTACCATAGTAACTGCAAATAGTTTTTTGCTGAAATCACTTTTCTACTTTCCTCAACATTTTATCACTATTGTTATTGATGGCCTTGTTTATCATTGCAAATATTTGATATTATTCAGGTGGAATAGATGCTAGCAATGGAACCTAGGACGTTTTAAACTCATTTACCAAATGTTATTATTTCCCCTGGGGTTCGAGCCTAACACCTACCATTTCATACATTGCAAATTTTACTCATTAGGCTACTAAAACTTCCTCGTCATTATCATTATTATTAATGTATCTAAATTTTCATCATTCAATTGTTTTATTTCCATCTTTTTATGGTGTGCTATAAGATTGTCCAGATCCACATGTTATTATTATTATTATTCGTCCCTTGGGTTCCTAATGGAACATAGGGCTTCAGTAGCACGTCTCCAGTGCACTCTGTTCTCTGCCATCTCTGAGCCATACAGAAGCACTGACTTGACTGGATTGGTGTTGAAAATCTGGATGTCGTTCCACATCCTGAGTGCAGTGCAGTGTTGGGGTCCGCGGAACAAGAGGAACCAGTAGTTGGAGACCCTAGGTGATATGGCTGAGAACCGATGTCAGTGGTGCAGATGTATACACACATTATCCTCATCTTAACAACGCTATACCGAATCTCACCATTTTGTCACTCCTCTTTCCTTTCTTCTCATACTTTATATTTCTTTTGACTGCATTCAGTTATCTTCATCCTTCACCTCACTACCTTTCTACTTGATGTAGTGATATGAGGTGTGGCAACTCGGACCGTTACGCAGTAATGCCTGGTCCTATGTTGATAATGATGATGATGATGTGCAGTGCAGTAGATGTCCATGCTCGTTTCAGCCTAATCAACTCCTGTCTTGCTATCTTCCCGATCCTGACTGGCTCTGACGTTATCGTCTGTGCCTGTGCCGCCGCCTGTAGTTGACACTGTGCTGCCTAGATAGGTGTAGGTAAAGGAGGCTACTTCCTTTAAGTTTCTCCTCTTGATGATGATTGGAGCTTGTTGTTGTTGTCGTCAGTATTGGTTGGGTATCTTCATCACCTCCGTCTACTCTACGTTCACTTGAAGTTCCGTCTTCGCTGCCTCACCTTACCTCTTCTGTCAACTTGTTAGTTTTCACCTGTACATCTTCAAGTGTGTGCGACAAGACATCAGACACAAGTCATCATCGTTGGCTAAATCCAAATCTTCTAGGTTGTTTTCCCCAGTACAGCCGGCGTATCCCCCACCCCATCTTCTCACAGCTCCTCACTGTTTCTTGTATCATCCAATCCAGTTGACCACAACACAATCAGGAATATCATGGGTGATAGTAGGCAACCTTGTCTTTTCTTACTCCTATCTTCACTTCACTTCAAAGACATCACTGAGCTTCCCATTGTGAATTAAATTACTTTGCATGTATCGTCTTCATATAGTTGTTGAATGAGATTGATAAATTTTTGTGGCACTAAAACAGTAGTGTTGAAGCAAGTGCCTGCCGAATTACCTGTCGGTTGACGCTATCGAATGAAGGTCTTTTCAGAGTCGATGAAGTTGAGGTAGAGACAGACAGACAGAGAGGGAGAGAGAGTGTGTATGTGTGAGTGAGAGAGTTGAGTGCCATTCTATACTCTGTTCTATGATAATGCTTAGTGTGGCGTTGCAATTTGGTCCACACATGATTTGTACTTCCTGAATCCAGCCAGCCAGCCTGTTCCGGTTATAGTTTTGAATCCAGTGCATCCTTTATTCTCTCCACGATGATGTGGCTTAATATTTTGCTTGCTTTGGGTGGGAAGGACCATGATTCCTCACCACTTCTTGCAAAGGCTTGGGTCACGCTTCTTCGAGATTTTGACAAGATTACCCTTCTTCCAATCGTCAGGTACCTTCCCTTCCTTCCAGACCTCCTACAATAGTGGTGTGATGTGAGCATGTCCGCTGTTGTCTCAGCATCTGCTGTCAGTGCTTCTGGCGTGATTCCATCTAGTCGTGCTGTTTTCCTGGATTTCAGTAGCTTTATGGTGCTCAGGACTTCCATTTTTATTGAAGGATTTGTGTTCACTTATGTTTCTGTGACTGCATGTGGTATTCCTGGACGAAGTGCAGGTGGTGGTCGATTCAAGAGATATTTGAAGTGGTCAGCCCATCGTTTCCTTTGTTTCTCTTCTTTGTTTATTGAATTTCCTTCATCATCTTTTATTGGTTTCATATGTTTTGATCTCTTCCATACCAAATAGTAACCTGGTTATTTTATATAATATTGTCAGGTCTCTCCTACGAGCCTGCAGCCTGTTGTGCTTCACTTGCTAGTGTTTCATAGAAATGTCTCTTGACTTTGCGTGCATTCTTCTTCACTTGTTTGTCCAGTGTTTTAACCGTCGTACTCAGTTCCTCCTCTCTTTGTGCATCCTTGCACTGCACTGGTTTATCTTCTGCTTCACCATCCTCCTCTCCCTCCTCTATCAGCTTCCATGTATCCTTCGAGATCCATTCCATTCCTTGTCTTCTTTCTTCTTCCTTCCTAATACGGCTGTGCAGGTTTCTTTCCACATCTCTTTCAAAGACTTCCAGTGTTCTTCCACACAGGTTTCTTCAGGGATGTTTCTCGATATCTCCCATTTTGTCTTGATGGCTGCCGTGAAGATTTCCTTTGTAGTTTCGTCCTTCAGTTTCTGGGTGTTGAACCTGAACTGTGGTTCATCGCCAGTTTCCTTGAAGGCTTTCAACTTGATTTTGAAGGTTTCTTGCACTAGATAGTGAGTGGTCTGAATCTACATCTGCTCCCCTTCTTCATCTGATCTTGTGTCCAGTAGGCTGGCTGCGTCTCCGCTTTCTTCACACTCACATGAAGTCACTGTGATATTCAGTGTGTTCATCTGGTGAAGTCCATGTCGCTTTGTGAATATCTTTGTGCTTGAACACACTACCTCCAATCACCAAATCGTTGAATGTACAGAATTCTGCAAACAGTTCTCCATTCTCGTTCATTTCAACGAGCACTTCTCGACCCATGGTTAGTTCTCTTCCTGTATTGTCCATTCCCACTTTGGCATTCATATCACCCCACCCATAAGAATTTTGATGTCGCCAGCTGGGCTGGAGTCTTGTCCAGAGTTGGTTGCAGTTGTGTGTAGAATTCCTCCTTCTTCTCTTCATCTGCATTATTTATAGTCGCATGGCATTGTACGATTGTGACTTTCCTTCCTTTTGACTTGAATCTTGCTGTCATGAACCTGGAGGAGATTGGTTCCCACTGCATGAGAGCCTTTGATGCTGTCGGAAACATCATGATAGCCACTCCTGAACTCTTTGTGCTCGTGGTTGTCGTCTGGGTGACAATATCGGAGAAGATTATTGATTCTCCAGTTGACAGTTTGGAGAGTCCACTCCCATTCCATCTACTTTTCCAAATTCCTAACAGTTCAATGTGATACCTTCTCATCTTGTCTGCAATCTGGGCTGCCTTACCAGGCAGCTTCAAACATGGTGCGGACATTCTATGTCCCCACGTTTCCTTTCGCTTTCATCAAGAGTAGACACATCAGCCGACTGGTTTTCCGAAGGCTTTCACCAACTGGCGTCATTTCGCCTCTCCGATTCTGGTGAGGAACAATATTGTTTTTATTTTTTATATTGTTTGTGCTTTGAAGTTTCTTTAGCATATGAAGCGGTAAATCCCTAAAACCCTTGGTAACCAATCATTTTGTTGCAAAGACTCAAGGAAAGATCACATCAACATAATGGTAAATACCTGATTGATTTGCTCTGCTATAAAGATCTAGAAATAGACAAGGCCATTGTAAATATGTACATAAGCAGTTGTATTTTGTGTATATTTCAACGTTGCAATCCACCATCTATTATTTTACCCCTTTTCCATTTACTGAGGAACTGAAGACTATTGGTCAAGTGCCCACTCTTATATACACAGACGGTAAAATATATATATATATCATAATCAAGTCCCAAGGGATATATATATAAATATATATATCATTCTGTTTACGGTATATCGGTTCGTTCTAGTCAGCCAGCCACGAATATTCAGTCGACCTAAACAATTTCACTTTCTCAATGAGCTGAATATGAGCTGAGTACAGCTCTCATGAGCTCAGCCTCAAATAAGTGAAGACGTAGACTAATCTAGCATAAAATCTATCGAATTATTTATGATCTCGATTAAAGGTTACTACTTAAATAAATAAAAGTAGTTTGAGTGATATGATTAAAATAGGTTGACTGTTGATCTCAAGATCATGGACATTTTGCAGCGTGGAAGATCGAATGGATATATATATATATATATATATATATATATATATATATATATATAATATATATATATATATATATATATATATAGAATGATGATTTACAAAGTACATAATCTAAATTGACATTTACTGAAGCTCAGTAGTTTTTCAATTTGCCAGTTATGGTGTCAGAAGAGGTCACATTTAAGCCACTCAGCTAAGATCACAATATTAGACTGATGTTTGACTCAGGAGTTTCATGAACTGACGAAATACACCTGTTGACTGCTGGAGGGCTTACAAATCCTGTTGATATCACAGCTGGACACTTTAAAAATTACTCAGCTTCAAGAAATATCATCGTGGTTTGTGTAAGTTGCATATAACTTTCAACTTGGACAACCTAAAGGGTATTAGTTCGTCCACCTTCGTCTGTTTCCCGCCGAGACTCGAACCAAGGTCCTGTGGCTTAAGAAGCCAAGGCGTTATCCACTACGCCGCTGAGGTATCACAGCTACATGTGCAACGGGTATCAGCCTCAAATAGGACGGGACGTGCATCTTGGATTCCACTGTTAATCGTTAAGATGAATACAACATAACGATTAGTCGTCAGTATCGAGGCGTGTGCTCATAGGAGTCCATCTGCCAACTGAGGTAGACCGATTCGACCCTGTATAGCAACAGGAAATTACAAGTATGAAACAATAGTTTTTTTCTCTTCTTAAATTGTCTATGCTATGAAAAAGTAGTAATTCTCACGGACTGACATCAATCGGAGAACCACTAAGAAGTTGTGAGGGTTGGACAGCAGCTGTTTCGTCCTAGTGTGAGATCTTTCAGCAGTTTGCACCCCCCGACTCCACCCTGCTTGGGGTCAAACCCAGGACCTACATGTCCTTTGGCAAACGCGTTAGCCTTTCAGTCACTGGGTTGAGGTTAATGTCCACTCTTTCATACTTCTCTCAACTGCTTATATAGCTACACTATCGCAACAAGTTTTTTAGTTCGATTCCACTTCATTTTCAGCTTGGCTTGAGCTACTGGTCACGGTTTCTTATTAGACTTTGGAATATCCATCTCTATGCATGTCATTCACCAATGAAAGTTTGCTAGTAGTGCGTACTGCTGAGGAGTTCCACACCAGAACAAAACACCTGGTGTCCAATGCTCACATATTTTCAATTCTTCAGCTGTGTATTAGTAATACTCATGCAATATATGCAAATTAGCAGAAACACGAGGTAAAATGGTAAACTCACTTTGACCTATTGTCACTTTATACGATAAAAGGTCATCTACAAAACCGAGCATGCATCTAAATAAAGAAATCAATAAGACAAAATCCAAATAAGAAAATAACTCTGACTCATGAGTACTTATTGATTTTTCAGGGTATTTTTCAAGTTTAGAAATTAACGAACAGTTCATTTCCAGAAGAACGGTATGGCGTGTACACCACGCATACATACGCACATACTCATTGAACAGTTAATACGTTTACGCATTCTGGTGAACATGATAAACTTCTGAATTCATGTAAGCAATTCGTGTTATTTCAGACAAAAAGTTGAAAGCGTGAATGTGCTCAGTAAGTGTTGTCATGGTTAATATATTTTTACTTATTTTGATAGTCATTCTCTCGGTGGATTGAGTACATGAGACTAAGCAAGTATATACGAGACCAATCACGTCCAAGGTCAGCGTGTAACTGTGACATCAGAATCACCAAAAGTCTATATTCACACTTACTGGAAGCTGACTGGATATCTCCCATGGTTATTTTAATTTTTCCAATCGAGGTTTTTTCATCCAATCAGAATGAGGTATTTAATACACATTGCAATTGATTCACTGTTGTGATTGGATGAGATTCAACCAATCAAGACCAAGTGAAATGACTGAGTCTTGTATGCAATATCGATCAATAAAATTTAAACTCTTTTTACTCAGATATTTAGTACTATCTTATTCTCCAATTAAAAGGCAGCGTTAAGTTTGTTTTCCTTCAAAGTGTGCAAACACTGACTTAACGAAAACACACACACTGCAGTTGCTAGGACTCCTTAATTGAGAACTATTTAAGTGCCCCTAATGCGGTGTCATTTGAAAAGGTTATCAAGTAAACAAATGGGAAATTTGCTGATAAGACTAGAGTTAACTCATTAAGCTGCTAATTTACCGTTTTCAGTTGGATCAACGCTGCGATATATATTTATAGGCGAAGAATTTACTCCAAGGGTTTCGTAGATCCTCTCACGGAAGTCCACCAGTTCAAATTGCCACGCTTCACATCAGTACCATGAAAAGAACGAGTGGATAGAAAAAGACTATAATCAAAGATGCCTGACCATTGATTTCTATTATCTCATACAGTGTCCAAAGGTTTTTAGTGGCTCTCCAAGTGATGTCAGTCTGTGATTAGTTCTACTATGAAGATTACATATGTTGACATTCCTGTTATGAAGTTGAAAGAACTATTGTTGAAATGTTCAGTTAATCTTCAATAGCAACTTATACAGACAAGTTGATGGAGTGGCTGTGAAAAAATCCATTTGATCTTACATTTGGAGATATATTTCTCGGAAAACTGGAAAAAGACTCTTTGATTAAAGATGAAATAGTCAATACGGAGTTGGGCTGTCTATATAAACACGTGATTGGTGTGGCGTACATACTTGCCCAGTCTGGTATGCTCAGTCCACCCACACACAATGAGTCACGCAACGTGATTCTCCTCTACAACCCTGTACAACACTTAATAGTGCACAGCAACTGGTAGCAGGTGTTTATAGAGAAAGTTCACGAACAGCACTCACTTGTGTCAGATAATGGACTCAACTGGTCAGAGTTCGTCATGGGGCTACAACAAAAGGGGAACCGTCTCATTTTTCTCGCCTACTAGTTCCTATCGACTGGCTGGAAGATGTCTAGAACAAAATGTTTTTCTAAGTGTCTTGATTCATTCATCACCCATCTGGATACACTGTATTGCCCGAAGAGGCAGGATGAGCAAAAAGGCATCAAGGTGGCTTCACCAAAACTCCGAAAAAATGCTGTGGGTTAAGTGGCTACATCTGCTTCACAGCATGATGTAACATGGGAAAGAAATAACATTTAGGTTGAAAAGTGTACGACAGAAGAGGTTACAAACATGCCAGGTTCTGTGCAAATCTTTCAGATATCAACGACAACAATAGGTGCTTATGTGTATGCCACTATGATCAATTTGCAGCCATTCCACAAATTTTGTTAAAGCATTGTTTCCTATCGTCTTAAGGGACCCTACCTTTCTGGACACGTTGCACCTCCTGCCCTACATAGCCTGGACCAATCACGTGCAAGGTCAGTATTAAAACTTAACGGGCAGAAACAGGGGATTAAGACAACTGCAACCAGTCAAATTTATAGGAACCTCTTATAACTTGAAACTGTTGTAGCTGCTATTGATGCACGGATATCCGCTGTCAGGCACCAGTGGTCGGCAACTTTCCAGTTGATTCCCAATCGGACTAATTAAATAGAGAAGACACAATGAAGGTTTAAGAATGTGTAATTGGGCCGAATATCGATGACGGTAATGAAAGGACAGTATATCGAAATACATACATAGTTAGGCTTTTAAAATAATAATACTGATTGGCTGATCGATCGGTCTGTCTGTCTATTCAACTATAGACGTGATTGGCAAGAAGTAAATTTTGATTGGTTCAATTTCAGAATAGTCTAGTTTCTCTATGACCAATCGTATTTAGGCTACCATTACATATTGAGGTAAGCGGTGGTTTGGTATGTGCAGCACATAACCAAATCACATCAGTTATTGAATGGTTCATAACTTCATCTTCGATGTCATCGTTAATTAGACCGAACCGATCGGCGTCTATTAACATATAGGCTACTGCGCAGATGCCTGGATATTGCCTGTTGTTTCAATCGTATAGTAATGATAGACAGTGGCTAGTGTGCCAAATAAGACGAAACGCGTGTCCCAGACTCCACTGTCTTATCATCAAGTAGTCAGATGTCTTGATGTCACCTTAAGTGATATACATTGGCAAGTAGAGAACAGACCTTTTCTTATCTGAACAGAGATCTTGCCTGCATCACTTCACTCCCCTATCCCTAAACTAATTGATCATTGTGAAGAAAATATACACAATCATGCTAATACTCTATTTTGAAATGAATTTCTAAAAAGAAATCGAAAATACACCGATAGAGTGAAAAGAAAAGTACACAATTCACTTACAAAACAATTTCGTTGATAAACCACATCATCAGTTTCATTATCATCTGGAATGGCTGAAGAAAAATGAAACAGTGTAAAATAAGAATAGCGCTTAACTTTCAAATCTATAATCCATGTCAAAAATTTCATTGAACACTAAAATATCTAACCAAATTCTTGAAGAATAATTGAATCCTCAACAAAATTTATGTATATTGGTGGGTTCAAATATTATTTTTCTAATTTGGAGGTTTGCAGGGATTTATTTATTGATTTCAGGTTGGTATTCATTATGGACTGACATTAATTGGAGGAATATTGAAAACCTGATCGCACTGAACAGCTGTTTCGTCCTAGTATAGGACTCCTCAGCAGCATGCATCCATGACTTCACCGCACCAGGGATCGAACCCAAAATCCCCAGGTTCTGTGACCAATAGGTTACCATTGAGCCACTTGGTAGGAATCCGTTTGTCCATTTTTTCTTACTTCTTGACAGTTCACGATATAATGCCACCTCCATCCTTGGTGGGTACATGAGTGAGCAAAACTGAGGAATCCTTTACTAGGGCGAAACAGTTGCTGCGCGTGTCGCCAGGTTTACAATTTTGATCCAATTAATGTCAGTCCATGATGAATACCAACTTTCTAAGATAATAATTCATTGTAGAACACTTAACTCGTCAACAGTTTGATTAGTGTTAACTTATTATTCGGTAGTGATTTCGATGCACACAATATGAACCCATTCTACCAACTCGAATCCATCAACCTGATTAGTGATACTCAATTACTTGCTCAAACTGATGATGAGTAGCTGAATTACTAGACTGCTCAAATCGAATCAAATTATGTAAATATTCAAAGTATTCGCCGACAGAATGTGAATATGTTTGTTTTGTTTTGTAAAAAAGAAAGGTTGAAGAGTATAGTTCCACAATGTTTCCAATATATAATGTTCAAGTTGGTTGCCATTTGTAATGGAACTATGATTAACTAGGTCTTTTCATAATCAGTACAAACCGATGCTGAATAAATAATATAGGTGGATAGTGATAGAAAGTGGTAAAAAACACAAGTGAATATTTTAAGCCACTATTCATAGTTGTTTAAGGTATAGAAATAGGAATACATTCTTTAATTCAGATTGAACCATATCTTTACTGATGATCTTTCCATAAGTTCTATATAGTACGCTTAAGGATGTCACAATATTTTGAGTAATATTACTAGGTCGCATGTAGATAATGACTTACTGACTGATTTGAAGGAGTAAGACCTGGGTGGACAGCTTATGTAGTCATTATATTTATCCTTTGGGTTCCAAGTCGAACGTACAGCTTCAGTAGCACGTCGCCATTGCACTCTCTTCTCTTCAGTTTTCTTTTTCAACCTGGATCCACGACTGCCCACAAACTCTTTCATTTCTTCCTCACACCATCTCCTCCATGTCACCGTCGCCTCAGACGCCTAACTCGTCACTTCCCTTTTGGCTCCCACTCGACAGTCTGGCCTGTCGCGTGATGTCCCCACACCGTCTTTCTTGTTGCTTATTCTTATTATTCTAGCCATCTGATCTCATCTAATCTTCAGTATGGAGTGAGCATAGTCAGCAGCTATTGATGAATGTCTGTAGGTTTCTGGAAATGCTTTTCGTAACGCGCCAAGTCTCAACCATCACATAGAAGCACTGACTTACTTGACTGACTTAGTGTTGAAAACCCGGATCTTGTTCAGGGCTTATGTTGATTGCAGTGCAGTGCAGTAGATCTGCACACTGATCTCAGGTTAATGAAGGCCTCTCTTACTATCTTTCCGATCCTGCCTTTGGCATGCTCATCTGCGCCTGTGTCGCCTGTATTTGAGACGATGCTGCTTCTTAGGTAGGTAGGTGAAAGGGACAACTTCGTTTACATTTCTCCTGTTGATGTTAATTGGTGTTTGTTGTTGTTATTGTTCGTTGGGTTTCTTTATCACCTCCGTCTTCTGTATGTTCACCTGAAGAAAGTGCCGTCTTCGCTGCCCTGTCTCTTCTGCCAACTTGTTGGTTTTTACCTGTAGATCTTCGAGTTTGCGCGACAACACAGACATAAATCATCATCGGCGAAACTCAAATCTTCTAGGGTCTTTCATCGGTCAAACAGCGTATGCCCATCTTCTCGCTCCTCACAGTTTGTTGCATGATTCAGTCCAGTTGAGTCGACGTCAATCAGGAAGATGACCGATGATAGTAGAAAGTGTTGTCTTGTCTTACTTCCGTCTTCACTTCCGAGTCATCACTGAGCATTCCATTGTGATTCACTTGGCATGTAGCATCATATAGCATATAGCTGTTGAAGGTTGGTGGCACTGAAACCGTAGAGTTGAAGCATCTGCCTATTTACTTCTCAGTCGGTGCTGTCGAAGGCCTTTTCAAGGTCGATGAAGTTGAGGTAAAGAGCTAGTTGACTGCCATGAGACGCTGTGTTCTATGATGATGCATAATGTAGCGTTCCAATTTGATAAGCATATGATTTGATTTTCGTGAAGCGGGCCAGCCTGTTTCGGTCTTGAATTTGAATACAGAGCATGATTTGGTCTCTCCAGGATGATGCGGCTTAATATTTTACTTGGGCGGATACTTTTCCCTCCTTCCAAACCTTCTGCAATTGTGGTGTGGCCACGTTCGCCGATGTCTTTGTGTCTGTTTTCAGTGCTTCCGGATGAATTCCATCTACTCCTGCTGCTTTTCCGGCTTTCAGTAACTTTATGGCGTGACGTTCAGGACTTCGACTTTTGTCGGAGTGTTTGTGTTGACTGATGGTTCTGTGACTGCGCTGCTTGTGGTATTTCTAGACCAGTTGCGGGTGGTGGTCGATTCAAGAGTTTTTTGAATTGGTCACCTTAAGCTTATGTAATAGAGACCGGAAATTCATTCATCTTGCATTTACAATTAGGCTGGATAAAACAATCAAGGATTGAACATTGAACTAGTCTTCCAGTTGTCATTATAGTTCCAATCGATTCGTGGTACGAATTGTCCATCAGTGTCAATTGAAATCACTTCTAAGCTACTTCCTTAATCCTTAATCAGTCATTTAAAAAATATCGTGAGCTAACAGAAGTTGGAAATATAGAGCATTGGATTCTGACCCAGTGGCTAGCTCAATGGTAACGCGCTGGTCGCGGAACCTGAAGGTCGCGGGTTCGATCCCTGGTGGTGGGGTCGTGGGTGCGCACTGCTGAGGAGTCCCATACTAGTTGGACGAAACAGCTGTCCAGTGCTCCCAGGTTTCCTTTGTTGCTCCAACTGATGTCAGTCTTCGATGAATAACAACTTGAAATGCTTATTTAGATTATTCAATCAATAATGTGTAAAATGTAAACACATCTGATTGGTTAGGGGTGTTTTTTTTATCTCAAGGGCATTGATATGAAATTAGCTTTTACAAATACACAAAAAACAAACTGTTATTAACTGTTAATTATCCTCATAGTACCAATTTTCAATGGTGTTTGCTTTATAAATAGTGTAGTGTATGAATACTAACTTACTGGGTATAAACGGTTTCCAAAATTATAAGTTTCTTGTACAGTCTCTATGCAAATTCCTTGAAAGTCATACAAGTAAGTTCTAAAATTTAGAAGAAAAAATAAACGTAGCACAAAAAAAACAAACAATAAAACTTAGTCAAAACAAAATAAATACAAGCTCAATTCAGTCTCAAAGTAAAATAGCTGCATCGTTCCTAACAGAAACCCTGTTGATAACACAAATGAGCAGTTGAAAAGCTACTTCAGATAATGTGAATGATTCCAGTACAGAAAATCGATAGGACTGAGAGAGGAAGATTGTTTATTTATAGAAATACTGGTTTCGTCCAATAGAATGTTGTCCTTATTCTTTTGACCTTATTAAACCAATCAGCGTTAGCTGTTACAATACTGACTTTCAGAAGCAAATCTGATTGGCTAACGCTTCGTTATCACACCATAACTGTACGTATATAATAAGTAACAAATAATCAATTGGTGGATTATTATTATTATTATTATTATTATTAGTAGTAGTAGTAGTAGTACTGACTTACTGATTCAATATAGAACGATTTACCAAATCTTCTACAAGAGCGCAATTGATTTCTTTTAAACTCTGTCCCACCTATAGATGATTTAAGAAGTAGAAAAAGTACGTGTGAAGTATGAAGTTCATTTTATAGACATGTTTATCAAAACTTTGAATTTCGTTACAATATATGCATATTTTGATAACGAGTAGAATTTTGACAGTATGTTTCGTCTCATTCTTAACACATCAGTCATATATATACATATCCATTTCAATTAGCATGTCCGCTGTTGTCTCTGCGTCTGTTCTCAGTGCTTCTGGCAGGATTCCATCTGGTCCTGCTGCTTCTTCTCATTTCAGTAGCTTTATGGCGTTCAGGACTTCCATTTTTGTTGGAGGATTTATGTTCACCTGTAGTTCAGCGGCTGGGCTGTAGGTGGTATTTCTGGACGAAGTGCAGGTGGTGGTCGATTCAAGAGCTTCTTGAAGTGGTCAGCCCACTGTTTCCTTTGTTTCTCTTCTTTCGTAATTAAATTTCCTTCATCATCTTTTATTGATTTCGTCTGCGTTGATCTCCTCCCAGATAGCGACCCGACTGGGGACATCACGCGTCAGGCCAGTCACTCGAGTGGAATCCCCATGGGAAGCGACTAGTTGGGCGTCGTTGGTCAGGGTGACATGAAGGAGATCGTGCGAGGAGGAAATGAGAGGTTGTGGGCTGTCGTGGAGCCAGGTTCAAAAGATTTCAGAGAAGAGAGTGTAATGGAGACGTGCTACTGAAGCCCTATGTTCCATTCGGAACCCAAGGGACTAATAATAATAATAATAATAATAATAATAATAATAATAATAATAATAATAATAATAATATAGTAATCTATTCATTTATTAATTTGGACGAGACAATACACTGATAACAGAAGATAACTGCTTAACATAAGGTAACAGAATACACCTTAATAGGTGTTGATATTGTCCAGAAATGAAGAGATATGTTGGGCTAAAGCAGTGGATATTGAAGAGGCTGAAGGCTTATGAATAACGTTGTCTTTGTAGAATTTCTTGTATATGATAGGATTATGCAATATGAAGAGCATTGAGATTAGGTTGGAATTCGATGATTCACAGTTTCCTACTTCTATACTATTGATGTCCTTCATAAACACTTTTGAATAGTTAAAGAAAAAACCAGACCAGATAATAATGTCTCAAAATAATCAGTCCACCAATGAAGAAATGCCTTCATTACATCGAACATCACGTGTTTATTCATGCTATTCTTTAACTCTCCTAACGTTTACTTTCAACAATATGTAAACAATTTGCTGAGAAAATACAGCGCTGACTGATCTTCTGTCAGTAATCATTTGGGTGAATCGATGAACTTTTGTAAAAAGTTGGTGATCAAATGATAAATTGATTTGTTTACTAGTAAAAACATTTAGAACAGTGTATAAAGCAAAATTTAAACAAATTGGCCATCATAGAGAGTAACCTATATGGCTGCTTAGTTCTAAATATTCAGCATAGATCAAGTCTTTCAACTGACTACTGAATTGAATCATGAGAGATTGTTGGATATAGCTGTATTTTGGTGTCATACGTTATGAGTCAGTTGTCAGGGTGTCACATGGTGGGCAGTCATGTGGATCACCTTCGGACAGCTACTTCGGTCATCTTCTGATGACTGAATTCGTGCAACCATCAGTTTCTTGATGAGGACTAGTTATACTGCTACCACTACTGGTCCCTATCTACCCAAACCTTGGATGATGAGAAGCGGGGTTCGAGGTTATTACCTGCTTAGTTGAAAGTCAACGCCTGTAAATCAATAAACCACAATTCCACACCAAAAGATAAAGTAGGAAGTCATAGAGAAAAAACAACATTTGGTTAAAGCAAATAGCTAAGTTGGATATTTTTGTGCTAATGAGATCGATTCACTCTCATATCATGTAGACTTTTCAATCACCACTTCCACTTGTCATGTAGATCTCAACATGATCTTCCTCACACAGATCAGAGTTATATTTGCTGAACATATGAACTGATGTCCATATGCCATTCAGTTATGCTTACCAACTAAGATGAGTATGCAGAATTAGAGCCAATAAACCACGACACTCTTCTCATCCTGAGCTTCATAGACATCAGGGAAAGGACAGATTAGAATCTCAGAATAGTGGATTATGTTGTTTTCCTTTTTACCGAAGACTTATCCCACCATGGTAATACCTCAAGTCTCAGTTTAATTAAACTTGTCCTGACTGACCCTTCCCATTAATTCCATACAGTTTATCGAGCCAAAGAAACTGAAAGTTATGCTTTCCCTCTTGTCTGGCGTTCAGCTGATGAAGTTCGTCGTGAAAATATAGCTAAACATCAGCAAAATTCCTTAACCTAGCAACAATTTATCCATTTGCAAATTACCTCTTGTCCTGCATGTTATTCAGCTCACATTTTGTATTTTATATTATCATGCGATATTGTATGTTCATTTTGCCTGATTTCTCACCAACTCATTGTTATCACTTTCCAAATTGCTATATATACTACTTATAAGTAGCTTCTCATAAGTAGCTCTGACTCTACTCTACTCTAGGTAAAATTACTCATTACAAACAATTTTGGTCGATGTTTGTATGTGTGACTGACTGATAGCACAAATCACATGGAGAATACCCACTAGTCTAATGATCAAGTGTCAAGTGATGTCGAGCAGGCTAACCACAACTGACGAATCCCTGTGTAAACTGTGCATAGAAGACGTTGTTGTTACAGCATTCGAAAGAAATCACTAGCTCAGTCTGAGTAGAACGAATGACTTTAAAAGTCATCCTGGCAGCTCCTAGAGCAACCAGTTTAGTTTTGTTACTGACTGATGTGATTGAAAGAAACGTAGTCTGCTATCCCAATGGCCTTTAGAGTCACTTATGTTATAGGAGTGGATTATGAAATCATATGGTAGGCGTATATTGCAAAACTCACGACACAAGCGGAGACAGAGGGAGTGAATGGGGTTTGCCTTGAGCTCATATACGTGACTGACAATCATCAGGATACACTGGTGAAAGACGTGAGAAGTTAGAAACCACTCAGGCTATTCCACAGTGGTCTAGTCACCAGACAGGATGGTGGTTCCGCTCGCTTGGCGGAGGAAATCAGCTCGTACAAGAAAATGCTTTCCATTTTCTCAATCTGACTGGTTAGTCGACTTCCTTCCACCACTATACTATACATTCAACAATCGGTTTATAAATGCTTTTCATAATAATGACATGCTCCACTTTCTCATAGTTGAGTAGTCTTCCAACTGACCAACTGTACTATCAACACAGTTTCTGTTGGAATGTAGACAGTTGAGATCAATTGGGTTTGATCCACGACGCAAAAGTGCCATCAAATAACCGAATTTATCAGTGAACTATTTGAATAGTCACACCAAGTATTCTATCTATTCCCCTTGTTGTTTAAGACCGAGGCATTCAGCGGTGTATCCTGACAAATTGAGCTTATAGAGCTAAATTATTCAGGCCACAGTATTCATGCAATAAGGATTTTCTTTTGGTTTCTTATGTATGCAAAGTCAGAAAGACTGACAACGACAACCAATCAGTTACAAATGTCCTTCCCCGTGTGTCTATCTTTGTTCTCATTGGTTGACGGTTTGATTAGGCTGCCTACGCTTTCAAGGTCCTTTTCTTTTCCTGTATATATTGCATTCTATGGGCTAGCCATCTAAGTTTGTCTGCTCCCTTGTATAACTAGCACATAGTAACTCAGGGAATAATGCCAGTTAGGAACAGGCAGGCTTATAGCAGTGACTCAGCAGCGAAACCATCAAGACATGCATATAAACTTTTCGCATCTTTACACACTCACTTCCTTCTCTCCTACATTTGACACTAACACCATTCCTGCCTGATTGATAATGTAGCAATCAAATCCAGGGCTGCCACAGATCTGACATCCATCTGTACTACATGTGTTGGTGATACGATTGAATTCATTTTGAATTTCTGCATGAGTGATTTGTAAACCGACTATCCCCATTGGAACTTTACTTGGTTCATGAAACACTGTTGTTGTCATAGTAACAGGGACTTGAAGTTTTTCACTGGAGAAATGACGAAATACTGAAAAATAGATAGAGAGACAGGAAAGTAGGCGAGAAAGAGAGTGATCATGAATGTCTTCAGAAATGCAAAAACATTAAATAAATAAACTATAAAAAAGGTTCCACCGTCCACGTGAACACGTTTTCCCAAAACAGGGGGGGGGGCTTCAAACAGCCAGTCATCACTTATGACAGCAATTGAAGAGATAAATTAGCCGACACCTGAAGGGTATCATCGGTGACAGTAAACTGATACGAACTAACGAAAAATGCAAGGGAACCCGGGACTAAAATGAATCTGAATATTTTGTTGGACAAATGATCAGCTCAACTGAAACATCCACCAGCCAACTACACTATCCAGGCTTAACAAGGGGTTTTCATCTAACTTTAACGATTTTACAGGATAAACACTGTCTCCATAACAGTGATTCATAAGCCTTGTACATGAGTGTCGATGACCAAATTAAGCACTTTTGGCTATCTGAGATAGCCAGCGTTTGCCAGACTTGTATAGATACTGGGTGATGATTGAAGGTGAGATAAAAAACTGGACCTCAGCGGGACTGGAACCAACGACCATTAGGTCACCGACATTGTAGCTCATTTGGTAGAACACTAGACCGGCAACCCGATGGTCGCTGGTTCGTGTCCCGTCGCGGTCCAAATTTTCATTTCGCCTTAATCATCACCCAGTATCCGAGTAAATAAATCAACCACCAGTCAGTCCTGCTGCTTGCCATCCATCATCAGTGCATGCGCATTTCCAACTAGAAGGAAGTTGGTCTTCTCTCTACTACTCAAAACCTGAGTCAGTCAGCGCTTCAGTGAGGAACTTCGCTACTATCCATATCTCAAATAACCCGTGTAGGACTTGACCAAGTACCCGAATTGCTCAACAAATGGTAGACAAGGCAGTTGACCAGTTTAAATGGATCATCACTGGCCAAAGTCTGCCAGCCAAGTTTTACAATATGGCCCCACCCTGTGATCCAGGACGAGGATGGTGTGTCCAATTATGGAGTTATAGTTGCCACACTCTCCCTACATAAGTGAATTATTTGTAAGTAACATATTCATTAATGTTAGCTAACGATGAAAAATGTCTTTATGCAACTAGTAGATGCCTTGAGTTGACACTCCCCCTCACAGCATCACATTCATCTGACTTGTAACACTCAGATATACTCTGGGATTTATAGGGATTTTATTTCCGAGGTTGTGTTCATCAGGGACTGACTGAAATCAGTTAGAAAACTATTGAAAATCTGCCAGCACTAGACAGCTGCTGTTTCGTCCTAGAATGGAACTCTTCAGCGGAATGCATCCACAACCATACCTTACTACGGTCAAACTCAAGAAGTTTAGGTTTCATGGTGGGTCCGTTAACTATCCAACTACTGGAGTAGACTTCAGTGGTTCACAGTTTCCTGCTTCTTTTAACTTACCACATAGTATAGTTGGTATCCGCCTTACTGCTAACTGGTTGACACCAGAACTGATGAGTACTCAGTATAATTTCAGGATTTCCATCTCAAAGTATATTACTAATGAACATGGTATAGCTATTTAGTCTGCAGTTTATGGGGACTTCATGTTTAAGGCAATCATAATCGATTGTTATTGTAAGAGGGAAACACAACTGCTCACTGATAAGAATTGGCCCTAACCGAAATCAGCATTCAGGGTCACCTGCTACTAAGGTACACATTTCGGATTTCAACCTTGGTTCCGTGTTACTGTGCAGGTTGGAACAACCTTATTGGACAGTTTTTGACCTTCAGATAACCAATGAAAATAAATATCCAACCTGTGACCTAGTGGCTTCATTTTCTGAGGGAAAACTGTGTTTCTTGTCAAATAAGGTTGTCTTCCTTACAGCCATGGGCTGATCTTTGTCTTATGATATTCACAGCTTAGTGAAGCATCATTTTCTGAGGGAGAACGGTCGCTATTCGTGTGTAATGAAAGCATCACATCGCGTTATTACCGTTGTTATGAATGTTAATCTACTCAGTCATCTGAATGTTATGAGGAAGGTGAGGGAAACGGAAACCAGAAGCTGATTTGTACATTTCGAATTGTGCATCTCTTCAAAATGATAAATCGATCAACCAAAAATTATGTAAACTATATTACTGTTTTATCACTTGTTACTTACAATCATTCGGTGGTGTATGAAACACAAAACATTGTCATCTGATAGGTATCGGCTAGTTTGAACAGTCTCTGCAAACAATGGATCCTCAACTCCACCAATATGATCAGTAATGAAATTGCTGAGTAGTATTCATTTACAAAAGAGAGAAGAAAGAAAGAAGAAAATGAATGTTTTTACAATCATTTGTATAGAATAGTGTTGATAATTTTTATAACTGATCTCTGGTTGTGATTGGTTGATTCACGTGACATCGCCTACTCAGTCATTGCGCTGACCTTGAATGTGATTGGTCCAGTATATCCTTTCTCAGTCTGATATATTTAATTCACCCACGTACATGATGAGTGCTTATTTAGTTTGTTGAAGTATTTTACGATGAGTACAACACGTTTTCAGTATTTACAGCATACCTACTGGTTCAAGGTGATATCTTCAACTGATGAGAATGACTGACAAATTCACTTGATGTAACAGGTCAAGGTTAATCAAAGATAGTGCATTCAGTAGAGCAGTACAAGAAGCAATAAAGTTTTTTTAATGTTTAACAGAATTCTAAAGACAATGAAAAATATTTGCGAAAAAAAAGTGTTTATAGCTGTTTAACCAGTGATGATTATGTTTTTGTTAGTTCAAACAAAATTTCACCAGCATATCCACTATATTGTATACACAGTATAACTGCCATTGGTCTTTTGATCATCACAACAGACCTCAAGTTGAGTTCTCTAAGCTTAGAAAGTGTAGAGCAGCTTACACTAGAGGAGAAAAACACCACTGAAACAAAAGACTTAGATCTTAATGACTTTGGATAATGTAATTAGAAGATGTGATGAACAAATATGATTACAAAAACAAGATGATATAGATCATTAGTGATGAAAGTAAATTTATGGCTAATGTTCCATCAGACGACCTTAGAAAATTACAATGCAAAATAACATCTAGTCTTTCCCTATCCCTTCAATGTATTTGAGAGAGATGTTATTACTGTGTACTGATAAAGTTTATTTCACATTTTGAAGGTGAATATTATCGACAAATAGATGGTGTAGCTATGGGAAGTCCCCAGGGACCATTGCCATCTGGCATTTACACATCACATATTGAAGGCTTTACCGGCGATCTCATCAATAAAGTTACTCTCTATAAGCGATATATGTTGATGATATAATTGTGATCTGTGATAAGCATGAAGATGCAACATGTTTGTTAGAAAGACTTAACAACGTACAAAACGACATAAGCCTAACATGTGAAGAAGAGAAAGAAAACCGTCTGCCATTCTTCGATATACTCTTAAGTCGTAGAAATGATGGTTCAATAAAACGGTCGATCTACAAGAAACCTACTTGGACAGTTTAGTATTTAAGTTTCCATAGCTTTTGTCCAACCCAATACAAGCCAGTTTTGGTAACTTGTCTATTTAAAAGGATCCAACGTATTTGTACGGAGGACTCAATGGATGATGATATCAAAATACTAACGGGAAAATTAATGGAAAATGGATATCCATTGAAGTTCATAAACCGCTGCAAAAATTAGCGAGGATTCAAACCTGATCTGTACTCTGTTTCGAAGAAATGCGTTTACATCGCGTTACCATACAGAGGAGAATCTAACAGCATAACATTAAAACGAAGGTTATCGTCTGCCGTTACCAAAACGTACTATGCAGCTAAGCTTATCATAGTTGAGAAGACCAAACACCTACTGTATAAACGATTGAATCACATCCCACTGCGTTTATAAATTTACATATGTGTGTGGAGAAACATACATAGGGAGGACTAATCATGATATGCACTTGAGGGCAGGGGAACATATTCCGAGATGGTTACGAAAGCAGCTGGATTCACAAACACTGATAAGCGCATATGGCAGACAACCATCATCCGCATCCATTGCGAAACATATCATTAATAAGAGTCACAGGATTGATATTAAAACAGCCTTTACCATTTTGTATAGAAATTGTCAGGAGCGTATACTTAAGTTTGTTGATGTGCTAGCCATAAATAAATTTAACCCCCCATTGTGGAGTCGCAAAAACAGTTTGTCCTCACATTAAGCCTACCTTGGTAATGCTTATTTTATCGTATTACCAAGATTGTCTTCAAGTCTTATCTTTTATTCCTTATTATTGAATTCCTTTATGTCATATGTATCCTTCCCCCACTTCCAGTTTTCATATATAAATTGCCTTAACAAGTAAATAGTGTGATCAGATTGTTCGAAATGTATAGTGCTAATACATCACACATATTGTTCAGATAATCTACGTCTTCTAATTACATTACATTAAATCGATCAGAGATAAGCTAATCTACGTGTATTGACAGAAAGTCGAACACTTTTAAAATCAATAGGTCATAGCATCTTCTTAATTAAACAAACAACAATATCTGCTGATGACATAACCGTTAGGAATGAAATGTGAAAGTGTTACATTGAACTTATAGTCTACGATTTGGTGAAGAAGTGGGTAAATTTGGAAGGTGTCTACATCATTCATATCTCAGAAATACAGTTCATATCTGATAGTGGAGATTGTGAGTAGAACTGTAGGTAGATTTGCGCATGAAAGTAAATAAATAAAGATTATGAATACGCCAAGATATTAGATCTTTTTTTCAGGAGGAGGTATTAACTGCTTGCCCCCCCCCCGCCTACCCCCGACCACGAAATTATGAGGTATCCTGGCAACTTTGAGAACCATAATATACGAATATAAAAAATAAAAGATAAGTAGTCTTATTAGAAAACGTAATGTAATTCATTGAAGAAATTTTTCTCTTCGATGAGTCATTTTCAGCAGCTGTATAATCTCATATGTAATGCAAACGAAAGAATAAATCTAATACTGGCTAATAGGTGAATATTAGATCATCAATCAAAAGGAGGGATTTTAGATTGGTAATCATCTTGGACTGACGTGAATTGAAGAAACACTGGAAACCTAGAGTCATGAGTGTACACTCCTGATGAGTCATATACTAGGACGAAATAGTTGCTGTCCAGTTCTCCTAGACTTCTAATGTTTCTTTGACTGATGTTGGTCACTAAATGATGAATACCAACGTGAAGTGAATCAGTAAATATCTCCCAACTCACCACAAACCTCAAAATTGAATTTCGGAAGAAGACTGTAGAAAAGTGATATGACAAGATGGGATTGTTGTTTGACTTCTATTCTTCTCTTGAAAGTTAACCAGAATGGTATATTGTAGATGAGTTTCGAAAGACTTTGCTTTGTACAACTTAGATAATCAGCTAAACAAGACAAAGCAAACTGATAGAAATTGAGATATATAGCCCAAAACAGTAGTTCATCCTTCACATTATCGTGATTCAACTATCGGTTGCATACTTTGCAGAGACAATTCTGCTTAGTTGTCACCTCGAAATCAACCTTCATGAACTTCTCTATTTGTTTTCGCTTTATGTTATTTCCAATGAACTTTAGGGGATAATAATTTCAGAAGAAACACTTTCTCAAGTTATCCTAACTCACTGTCTTTCTAACTCTAAAATCAACTCATTATTTCACCCTAAAATATTCTGTTTTATTGATCTAATGTTGACCTTTTAGACAGTAATGAACTTATTTATTTGTTTGTTATCATTATAAATACAGTTGTGCAGCTGATAAAAATAATTTCTTTCAAACAAGTAGATTAATTCATTTGCCAGTTGTGAAAGAGTGTCTGTTCTCTTACAGACAACTTGATGATATAGGTTAATGATGGATTGTGGCTAGCAGTGGAATCCAGGATGCGCATTTCGTCCTATTTGGCACTCACTGGTCAGCTGGATGTACCTGCTTCCCAGTGAGTGATGGGAACAAAATCACTCACTGGGAAGCAGGTACATCCAGCTGACCAGTGAGTCCCACATAGGACGAAATGCGCATCCTGGATTCCACTGCTAGCCACGATCCATCATTAACATAATTAGACTGCTGGTAATATCGAGGCATCCACACAGGAGCGCATATGCCAATAGAGACCGATCAATTCGGTCCAATCAACGACGGTATCATATAAAAACCCTTATGCTAATTTGATGATATAAGCTTCATTCATCAGCTTTCTTTTCGGTAGATAATTGCCATGGTATTCAGACCTGATATCTTGACTTGGCAGAATGCACACAAGGCAGTCACAACAGCCAAAAGTTCGGATAGTTTATCGGAGAACTGCATCGACAATCCAACAGCTGTAGTGAAAACTTAATGGTAATGATGAATAGTGGAACTCGTCAGCTGGACGCACCTACCAGTGAATGATATCTGCACTAAGACTCTAACCTAAGGCCATTCGCTCCCAAAGCCAATCATTTCAGTCCAGTTAACGACTGCAGAGTATGAGAATTTCAGTGCAGCATCAATCAGTCGGATGTCGAGTTTTCATGACATCATTAACGAAGACGTGGTTCAATTCACACTGAAGAATATACAAGGACTTGATAATATTCCTGTAGCTTATATGTATGGTAATAGTCTGATTGCTTGACCTGAAACTTTCACATCATGACTAAGGAAAAGTAACTCATACGACTGCTCAACAGTGCTCCTTCATCATCCCTGAGAGAATGAATTCAAAACCGTTAGACTTCAACCAGTGGGTTGGAATTCAGCAGTTGATCCATGATGAATATTTTAAAATCGATCTATCCTCTTTCTTAAATATCACCCTACAAAATTTGGGTATCAATTAGTCAATCCTCATCAGATATAGTGGAGGTTTTATGTTTCACTAACTGTTCACTCGAAAACTCATGCTGTGGTGGTAAAAACCCAACGACAACCTTCAGATCATTGATGTTTCTTTAAACAGTCAAGCCATCCCCACTGATTCCAGCACAGTTACATTGAAATAATTCTGACAGCTAGTAACTTTCTACAGCGTTATACCGGGCACCTTAGTAAGGTATTAAACGCAAACCAACTTGGCATCGTAGATTTTACAGTAGTGACTTAAGTACGAGTCTCTTTCAGCCAGTCAGCATTAGACGTAGTGAAATATGGTCTCTGAAAGTTTCTGTTCTACTAAATATCCAGGAAACATGGTTATTAAAGGTATCATAACCAGTTTATAACTATGTGCACCTTCATGAGCTTTATGCCCAATCAAATAGATTGAATAAGATTTCACCAGCCTCAATAAGTGGACTTGTGGTTCAAACCTGTGACCTATAGCTTAAAATATTCCCCAAAGCGGATAATTTGAAGTTTTTATGATTCTATTGTCACTGAGTATTCATGTATGAATCAACTCTGAGATTATTTCAAGTTTTACTAAATTTTTGAATCATCCAACAGAGTTCCCTTCATTTTTATCATCTTTAATACAACAGATCGAAACAAACAGAATGAATCAATTATCACCTAGATTTTAGTTAATTTTTAGAACAGGGTACATTTTTCTGTAGATATAAGGGAGCTGTTGAATTTATTGATTTTTTCCTGATCATATACATAACTTCTTATCATAATGGAAAGGGTAGTTGAACACTGATTGGTCAGTGCCAACAACCAATCAGATTTTGATGCATACATATAAAAAGAAATCGTTTTTTTAAAACTTTTAGTTGAATAATCTGTCTGTGATGAGAATAATTCAGTTTTCATGTAAAAAAAAATTGCGCTGAAATACCTTACTGGAAACAGTGAGTGGAAAGATTATGGATGTAAGGAGTGAGTTTATAAGCTATCTCTGAGTAAATGTGACGACTTGCTTCCCCCTACGTAGACCTTGAGTGGTAGAACTGAAAACGGGTTTACTGACGAATTGGTTTTTTTAATTAACACATCTCAGCTGCTCAACTGTACTCCAATATCAGTAGACTTATCCAGGGTATTTCAACGAGTGATGTTTTCGAAGTCATTCCTCAGCTGAGTGGAGGAGGCAGTTAAGACACGATAACCTGTAACAAGTACGATAATACCTGGGGATAACTTTTAGTCTCACTTGGTTCACACTTAGTTAATCAACTCAGACTTCGGAAGGTGGGCAGTGTTTCACTCAGATCACTTGAAATGATCACTCACTAGAAAAGAGAATAATTCCAGCTCGAAATTGGAGTCAGAGATACGTAGTTCTCATGAACAATACCTTCATCTTGCACTAATCGGTAGCTAACAATTTGAAACCCCGAATCAGCATAGTACTCTTAGGTTTTTTTGGCTAGTAAATGTTTCCTCAGATAACTGGTTCCTATTCAGACTTTAGTGGTCATCTTTGCTTCACTTAAGAATGAATGGTGCCTTATTGCTCATCTCGAACTAGGTGGCATATGGCAATAGAACACAGTGGAAAATAATTGAAATCTACAAACTAGTACATAAAAAATGTCAATATTTCTAAACTCGGCGGTGAGAAAAGCTCTCGTATAAATCGCTTCCTTGATTTTGAAAAAAAGGCTTTAAATCAGATTGAGCTTTCTGTCTTTCTACACGGAACACTTGGATCAATCAAAAGGGAGTACTACTTGGTTGAAAAAAGGTTAATTAACTACACGGCTGACAGGTTTGTTGCAAGTAGATGAGTGACCTTGAAAACTGCTGAAATAACCAATCGAATCCCTCGATTAGGGTTACAAGGTTAATTTCTCATCATGAGTGAGTCATCGATTCGTCTTCTATGCTAGCCAATCAGATTGAACCTTTTATCTTTCTACACAAGACATTTGAACCAGTCAGAACTATTTTCTAGGCTGATCGATTTATCGGAAGCAATCATCAATGATTAATTCATTAAAAATATACTTTAAAGTCACGTAATAAAGAAAAAAGTGTATAATAGTTAACGAGTATTACTTACGGATATGCTGGTGATGTGAAATTATAAAAGCGAATTAATCCACTGTGATGAAATGAAAATGCTTGTTGAATTTTCCATCTAAAAGAAATTTTGTTTCTTTTGAAATGGAAAATTTTTATTTTCATACAATAACAAATTAACAAAAACTTCAACTCTATCAACCAAGCAGCTGTTACTGAAAAGAGAGTAGACATTATACAGGTAAGAAGTTAAGTCATTATGTAAACACACGCCGAAGTGTTATCACCACACAGTAATCTTATTTCTATGACTTTTCAACATTATCAATTTACATTAAGCTCTATGTATGAAGTCTATCACTGTAGGGTTTCAAGAAGCTTCGGTTTTATTGACCTAAGATGTACAGCTATAGGATCGTCAACTTTATAGAATAGAATAGAATGACTTTGTTAGCCAGGTGGATTTAAAGTAGAAATCTTCTTGATATCACAAAGTTGTGTTTGATAACAATAAAAATGCGAACTATGAGAAATATTCATATGATGAACTGTGTGATTCATAAATCAATCACAATTCACATACACACACACAGAGTAAATGGCTGACTAGATTTCAGTTGGACTTCATTTCTTTTGACACTGGAAAGGTGTTCCGATGGTAGTCTGCTTGATCGCCTATGGAGTCATGGTTACACCCAATTCTGGAGAACCTTAAATGAAACCGTAATCTCTGTTCACCTGAAACTATCCATTCTGCAACTATGGCATAATTTTGACTAAATACTTTCAACTACTTAATAACCAATAAAAGTAGTTCAAGTAATTAACGAACTAAAAATGTAATGTAAGAACGCTTACTTTGAAATCAGTGGACTTTTAGACTGTTTACGCCAGTAGTCGGGTAGATCACGAGTTTCTTTTGCATCTAAGTATATTCGACCAAGATATTCTTCATCACCTGTTTAATGCAAAACATAGACATTGCAATTGTTTACGGTATGCTGTGTGAAGTAACCGAAGCGGTGAAAAAAAATTAGCCAATCACCTTCCATTATTACTTCTTTGTGTGAATATTTCTTTCCGGTAACAGTCAGGCGGCTATCAGATCAGCGACACACATTTATGTGGTAGGTAACCATGTTTAATTTGGCTATTCGGTCTTTCTTCACGAGTGAGTTTGTTCTTCAGAATAGATTTGAACAACATTTTAGTGTAAGGGGGTGACCCTTTCTCTTGGCTTTACGTCTACCAGGCTTCTACTAGTGTTCCCTTTCAACTGTGCATGTATCTATCGCGGGAACATTTTCAAATAAGCAGTGAAAGTTCTTTTATAAACTTTTGTTTGGTTCTGGGCCTTGTAGCTCAGTAGGTAGGGGACTATACCGGGTTACTAACCATGAGGTTGCTGGTCTGAATCCTACCTCGGTCTTGATGTCTAGCCACCAGTCTTGCGATCCACCGGCCTATGAAGTGAAAGATGTTGACAGAAGAAATATTTTCAATGCATATCTTCTATCTTGTGTCAGAGCTGTACCCAAGATAATGTTGAACTGTTAAGCACCTTTAAAGTTATGCTTAAACATCTGTCATAGCGACCATTTCATTAACAGAGTTCTTCTGGCAATGAAGAAATCAGAGGAATAAAGTGTTTTAGGATTTATTCCTCCATAATGTTTTTAGTATCTTCACTCTATTCGTATATAGAACATGCGTTTTAGGCATTCAGCGAATCTGATTGGCTATCCAAGGTCATCGTACAAATTTTTAGTTTATGGTTGCTGTAACAAGATAAATCGATTTGATTGGTATTTATCAGGATAAAATTTAGGCCACCCACATCATAGATATATTACACGAAGCTGAGAAGAATGAAGATCAAGGAACGACCTTGGAGATCACTCTGGCAACTAGTGAAACAACCAATCAAGTTTCAGTATTTCTGCTGTGAATAAAGATGTCCCTAAAACAAAGAAGTTACTTGGTTATTAGCATGGCGTTTAAAGTCACACTCAAAAATTTCACAACTCACATTTCAATGGGTTGATCAAGGATGATGCATTGATTAGAACTTGTCTAAGTGCACATAGACGATCAGTCAGATACAATGATGCCAAATCCTTGTTAAATTGACAAAATTCACTGTTCGAATGAAATGAAAGTAGACAATATTAAAAGCCTTAAATCATTGGAGAAATTTAGAACTTAGTGTATACAGATGTATATATTTAGAAACCGTTGGAAGTGTCAATATCACTTCAGTAAGCAAGTTAAATACAACTGTATCAGAGGTGATAGGTGAGTTAATAGGGCAGTTTATAGCTGATGGGGTAACAAGTCTTTTTTTTCTTCTACAGAAAACTTCCTTTCCAGTCGAAATTCCGAAATCTAATTGGTTATCTCATCTGTTGTTATAGTGACCTTGAAAGCCAGTCTCAGTGACTCAAGGAGAGGGTACACCTGTTAGTCAATATCTACACTTATATGATCAGAATGATAAAATCCTTTGAAATCTATGTATTCGAGTTTCAAACATTAGTGGGGTAAAAAAAAGAGACCATTCTGTTGCATTATCTCTACTTTTCAGACAATACTAATCCGACTGGTCTAGATAAAGTGTCAGATAGCCTGAAATGACTTTAGATAGATTATCCTCCGGATTTGTTGTATTTTCTTTTAACTAACTGATGTGGAAGTTATGAAACCAAATTCACTGCAATAATTCATGCTTTGCATTTTAACATTTACAGATTTTATCACTTTATCTGTATGTAATTATCTTGAGCACATGATTCTTCACTTCCAGTCCTAACACTGACTGTGCATGTAATAATTCTAGAGTATGTCTGCCAAATTTCGTAGACCCAGTCTACACATGCACATACACGATGAGTCACGCAGTTTGATCCTATCAACCACGTCTGGTATGATTCGTCTGCATACACGTGAGTTACCTTACTTCAACGCCCTATTGAAACGTCGATGAGTTCGCAACACTGAATAACCCGACATGTCATCTCTTAGTAGACATTTAAGATACGCTATGCTGACGAGTGCCAAAAAGGCCGAAACTCATGTTAAGAAGAGCTCCCTGCAAATCCCGTTCAACCATCTATCACCAACTAATTTCCGCGTCATTACAAAACTGGTTGATAAGATTCGATCAGAACAGAGGGCCATATAAAAACTATCATTCAATTCCACCGGCGAGTATCTGTCCACACACTCGACTTATCATAAGAATTTATGGGATTCCATTTTGAAGTGTGTCAATAAGAAGTGGTACAAGCTAGTTCACTTTGTTGATTAACTAGTTGGAGAATAACTTTTGAAGGCCACTCCAATAACAATTGAAATGACCAATTACGTTTCACCATTTTCCGGCCAACTAACTGCTGCTTTCTACATAATACAAAATTCTGATTGGTTACTTCACTAGTAGTTGTCAGTGTGACCATCACACGCAATCATCACCTGAGATGGTCGGCCTTGACACAATTCTAAATTTGATTGGGCAGTTGTCAGACTACCTAGTCACCATTGACAACAACCACTCATCCACCTGTATTCATCTTTCCAGTTCGATAAAATATAAGTAGGGCACAACACTATTTACACATTGCTTGTTTAGACAACAAAATATCCTTACTGAAATACGAATTGTTTTCACACAACAATTATAAATTGTGGCAATCTGGACCGTCTAGTTGTTACTGATAGAAAGGGTTTTCTCCTTTCTATTACTGCTTCCCGTTAAACACAACAATCCCTTAGTGGATTATCTCAAGCATTTTCTATGAGGACAGTTTATCCAACTTCTCTTCAGGGGATTTCACCTTCCCTTGTATACAGTTTATTTAGTTGACATCTACACGATTACGACTCAGCCGATAACGATTGAACCACACTAACAATTGTAGTCCCATTCAGAATAGGTTAAGAGATGACTGACTCATCATCCCAATCAAACAACTATACAATCATAATCAATCCAATTGTATTGTCTTCTAAAAGCCTATCTTTCCATCAAGATGATCAGTCATGTCTAATCTAACCAATCTAATACAAGGTGGGACACATCAATTGAGTAGTGAAATCAGTTAGGACACGTTTTCAATTTACTCCAGACATCATTCACAAAGAAAATATTCATATAGGAAATGATGATATGTGTCTACAGAAATAACAACATGATTCTGTGTGTCAGTAGTGCTTAACATTATTGTTAATGTCTATTCTGTTGGAAGATTTTCTCTTTTCAAAGTATCCCTAATTGGTTATTCAACGTCTCTTGTCTATTTACTGACCTTAGAGTGTTTTTTGTTTCACTTCCATCATCTTGGTGTATTTCAAGACAGTCGATGTAACTGACATGTTTAGCCTAATATATATTTGTAAATGAATCCCAACATAGATGACTAGATAAATATTAGTGGATTATTTTGAGGTGAATGAAGATTGTATTTTATAGTTGTTTAGTTTGAGTATTGAACTTGTCAGTGGTATACACCGAGTGAATCACCAGAGGTCGAATTGAAGACATATTAAGCACTCAGTTATTGAGTTGGAGTTGAATAGTCTACAGTTTCTCACTTTTATTGATTCATAATATAGCATGACTCTCTATGAAGTTCAAAGATTCTTATGTGGTTCATCTGTGAATGGTTGACCTTCCAGTTGAAGATTTTTCATTAGAACTTCTGCATATCTATCTATCTCAAGGCATATCATAAATGAGGTGTCTTGGATATGTTCTGATGAGAATTCATATATCAGGATGAAACAGTTATCCACTACTCCCAGGTATTCAATACTTCTCGAAATAATGTCAGTTCTTGATGAAAACTACACTGAAATATTGGTCATTACGAAAGGGAATTGTAGCAACTTCATCAGCTTCACTAGCATTGTACCTAATCGAGGAAGCTCTCAACAATTGGAATAGGCAGTCTTACTTCAATTAGATGCTCATGGGTGCAAATACCCACCCTCAACTTCCGAAATTTGAGAACGTAGATACCATCGTTAGCATTCAGTAAGTTTGCAATTCGTTACTGACTTCGATCAAAGTCTGTGTATTATCTGTATACTTCCACGTGCACACACACACATACATTCATACATACATACACAATGATTTGTAATGTAAAGACTTACTATGGAATTATTGTTGCTCCAATCTGACTGTCATTACCATGAGAATTACAATCAACACTTTGTTCACCGTACTTTGGAGCTAAACAGCTAAAATCACTCACTGGAAGAAAGAATGAACAGCGAAGAAGCAATTTTTTCAACAAAAATTGTTTAAAATCATTTTTTTTTACTCAAGAACAATGTAAGTCTATTAAAATTGTTTATCGGCCTAACACTTATACGCTTTTAAATATATACTACTTGCTGTAAATCAGTAGTATCCTAATATTCATCTCATTTCTTTACCATGTTTACTTAGGATAAATTTTGTTTATGAAGTACAAAGAGTAAGCTTTAACCTCATACATATCATTTCCTTACATTCAGAATTGAACAAAATAAAATCCTCGACAACATCATGTAGTCAAATATATACGCTGTCTATCGCTGTGGATATGGAGGAGGTTTCCCTCTTGTCACCTAATTACACAGACGTTGACCTAATCACAGGTGAATTTTCGTTAGACCTAGAATATGCAGATGACAGAGTCCTGTTAAGTGAAGACGCTGACAAGATGCAGAGTCTTCTGAACACTTTGAGTGGGAATTTGAGAATGTTTGGGATGCGGTTCTCACCACCCAAATGCAAATTTTTGCTCCAAGACTGGTCTTCAGCGGTGCCGCGGCTAACAATAGAGAGTGAGTTTCGTGGTTGAGTGTATCGACCGCCCTGGTGCGTTGGCCAATTGCCGACGAAATCTCTGCACGGATACAAAAGGCTCGATTGGCTTTTGCCAATTTACGCCACCTATGGCGCCGCCGTCATATCCGTTTGTCTATTAAGGGTCGCGTGTACTGCACAGTACTGCAGTCCGCTCTGTTCTGCTGTATGGCTGTGAAACATGGCCATTGAAGGTGGAAGATATAAGAAGGCTTCAGGTGTTTGACCACCATTGCCTTCGTAGTATAGGACGTATTCTGTGGTGTCACCACACCACGTGAGTAATGCAGAAGTCAAGTGTAGAGTTTTAGGGAGTAGAGATAAATCAGTTGACGAGGTTGTGAACCTTCATCGACTGAGATGGTTGGGACACGTACTACGTATGCCTAGTCACTGATTGCCTTGTCACACAATGTTGGCTGAGGTGGGTCCAGGCCGCAAAAAGGCCCGAGGTGGCCAGACTAAAACATGCCACCAATGTATGAAGTCTGTGACTGTTGGTTTAAGCTATGTAGGACGATGCAGACTAAGTGGTTGGGGTCCACAGGATAAGAGGAACCAGTGGTTAGAGACTGACTCTAGGTGATATGGCTATGAACCGAAGTCAGTGGTGCAGATGTATACACACATTATCCTCATCTTAACAACGCTATACCGAATCTCACCATTTTGTCACTCCTCTTTCCTTTCTTTTCGTACTTATATTTCTTTTGACTGCACTCGCTTATCTTCATCCTTCACCTCACTACCTTTGTACTTGATGAACTGACGTGGGGTGCGGCAACTTGGATTGTGAGGCAGTAATGCCTGGTCCTATGTTGATATTGATTGATTGCCTATCCCTCGAAACTAGCTTCAACAGTAAATTCACTGACTGCAGTGGTTAGTTATTTAAGTTGGGTTAGGGTCCCCTTGATAATAAAACCGGTAGATTTTATCGAAAAGATGACACATTTAGGTGAAAAAATTGATATCTTCATCAATAGAAACATTGGTAGTATCGATAAATTCTTTGTATATAAGCTGATTTTCTCTAGTTTCATCTCAACTTATTCACTTCAATGATACATGAGCTGTCAATCGTAACATGAATAGGTCAGTAATAAGATTTTGGATACATTACTGGGTGAAGTGGTTCTAGATCTCTGAAGTTAATTCAATTTTCAAGAGGTTTGAGGTCCCCTATGCTGATGAGTTTTACTAACTACCAAACAAGGCTTCTTTCAGATTACCTCCAACCATCTAAAATTTCAATGTTCTCTTAACATGGAATTCATTTGTGATTCAACCTACTCAACAAGCTACACTTATCGTATGATGCCTTTTCTTACTACCTGGTCAGATTAGTGATTACTCAAGAATAATCGAAGGAATGACATATTAGACAGTTAATGATCACATAAGTTCGGATAATTGCTGACGCCTTAGCCATAGAGATGCAGCTGAGGTAGTAATTTATCCACTTTCAGGTTTTTAACGGGTTTCTCCACATAAATGTCAATCAATAATATTTTCAAATCAATAAAAGTCATGATTATTCTCAAACTACTATACTGAATGATCAATAGGGACCTTTGACTAAAAGTATCAAATCTTCCCTGTTGTTACGCGTCATCGTCTCTTTTTTGATAGGACACGGCCTAAATCAAAATCACCATTCTAAGTCATCATTCACTAAGGCGGATGTTTTGTGCTTCAACCTTGTTTCATGTTACTGCGTGGGCGGCGAAAAGCTTATTGGACAACTGTGTCCTTCGAATGACCAATCAAAATAAGTATGTAACTTCTGACCTAGTGGCTGTATTTTCTAGGAAAAACTACATATAAATGATGTGTGTTTTTTGTCAAGTGAAGTTTTCTTTCGTACAGTCATAGACCGATTTTGTCTTCTAGTTTTCTTAGCTCAGTGAAATAGACCAGCCATACAATCCTTTTTATGAATCTGATTGAACTTGACATCGTTTCATCGCAAGGATGAAATTGGTTACTGAAACACCAACCAAAAAGCACTAACTTATACGCAACAGCTATCTCGTCTCTGCTTTTAGCCCTTCAGCAGTTCACTTTTACAACCTCTCTGTTAACAAGTCAAGTTGAAGGTTGTGCTTAGATTAAACAACACTTGCCACCCTTAATCCGCTCATATGAAACCTCAGGGGGGGGGGGGAAGACGATCCCTTTGTATATTGTTTATGCGACAAGATTTATCAATTTCTTACAGTTATATGAGTTCAAAATGTTAATTTCTTACTATTTCCAGTTTGTTATTGTTTGTTATTCACTTGTGATTCAAACTTCTCAGAATATTCACTGAACCAAGGTATGAAGGGTTAACCGCCTTACAAGTTTTACAATTCACCTCTCTGCAGTTGATCTACACATCATTCTGACTCTAAACTATTTCTACTTTCCATAGTGGTTAATTTCTAGTCAATTAGGTTGTGAGCAGATGAAGAGAATCCATAGAATAAAGATGAGCGGATATTATTTTGCTCCCATTGGCCTTCAAACTGTATTCTTATCAACATTTCACTTCAGAAAGATCGATGAATTCTGAAAAAAATGGAACTAGTTCAGGAAACAAGGTGGTAAGTGTTTGCCAAAGCCGAGGACCATCAAACTCCCACCCAGTGGCTGAATGGTTAACATGTTCACCGTGAGACATGAGAGTCCTTAGTTCGATTCCCAACTGGGTCGTGAAGCCGTATTACTGAGGAGTCCACAAAAGGATGTAACAGGTAGAGAATCCTCCCAGGTTTTCATTGATTCTTCCGCAACTGATGTCACTTCGTGGTGAAAACAGTCATACTAGTTTGTGGAATGACTGAAATTTAGAATGTTCAGCAAACAAATTTCTAAGTTATACACTCATCCCTAACAAACAATAAACTATAATAATTATTCAGTAATTGATAGGAAGCGGCTTGAATGGAAACCAACACCTTACGAGCCATCAACCGCTGAGATATTCTTGCTGTATGGTCAAGAAGAACTTCATTGCACAATTTTATCCTACAACTGACCAATGGGAATAAGTTATTTATCTGGTAATCCAGTGGCTTCATGCGTCCATATAAACTGTTGTATATCTAAAGTATCTAGCTTTGTCGGATAAAATATCTTCCCTTTATAGTCAGAGACCAGTCCGTATATATTTTCGTGACTTAGGGAAGTATGTAGTAGGTACCTCGAGGAATACACTCGTGATTCGGATCCAGTCAAAGTGTCTCACTGTGTTAGCATTGTTCATTATATATATATATATATATATATATATATATATATATATATATATATATATATATTATATATATATATATATATATCATGGTAGTTATACAATTCAAAGAAACAGTTATATATTAGAGACATTTTCTTCTAGTTGGGATGGGGCATACAGAACAACAGGATACCCACTTACTTTGTAGATTTTCAAATAACTTCTTTGTCTCGAATCGATAATCTGGTATAGGATAACCTTTTTGATTGGTTCTATCCCATTGTACTGCTAGACCCAGAGTGAAAGGTGTTTTACTAATTGGTGCTGTAAAATACTTTCGACTTGCTTCAAACATAGTATGCTGATGAAAATGTAGGGGATATTTTTGAAAAGAAGAATGAGAAGGATACAATGAAATGGTGTAAATCGAAGTTGAAATAAAATAAACATTATGCAATACACATGTATTATGTTATCGGATGGAAGAAATTTTGTTGGTTACACATCCTGTCACAAAAAAGCACAGGTTCAACTTATGATCTGTTGAATGAAAGTCACAATACCTTTAAAGACTTACTATAAGATGATTTAGTATAAATATGTTGAAACTGTCTTGGCTGATACACTTTATATTGTCTAGACTTGCCAATAATCGATTCCAATCAATGTTAAGTCAATAGTTCAGTACACAGAGTATCTGATATGATTGTAGTGTCTATATTTTAGACACTTGTGGTGAAAATATAGTTGTTACAGAGTTACAGAGGCTTGCCTCTTGATGAAGTTCTCTCATTTCTAAACAATAAGAAACATTTGATGCTTATAGGATTTTGAGACGATGGAGAATACTTGTAGACGAGGATATTGATGAATGGTTTAATCTTGAAGCTTTCTTTATCATTCTAACCAGGAGTTTCTGTGAATAATGAACTCATACTTAGTGGCTTTCTTATGGTTTCCAGTTAAAATTCATGACATTTCTAGATATTGAAGAGAGCTGATTACTATTGTCGCCGAAAATACGTTGTAAAAATATTCAAGGTCACTGAAGAAGGTCATCACTGTGAAATAGACTAACCACAGAAGAAATACTACCACTTTCAAGTGGGTAGTGACTGGCTAACAAGATAGACAGATAATATGAACTAAACTAAATTCAATCACAGTTAAACTTCATCAGCATTTTTAACAGATGAACAGAAAAAGTAGGTTTATAAGGCTAAACAATAAATTTTTCTACAATCAATTTTTAAATTACGAAATTTCAAGTTGTTATTCATCGTAGACTGGCATCAGTTAGAGGAACAAACGAAACCTGGGAGCACTGGACAGCTGTTTCGTCCTAGTATGAGACTCCTCAGCAGTGCGCACCCACGACCCCGCCAGGGGTCGAACCCACAACCTTCAGGCTCCGCAGTCGGTGCGTTGTCATTGAGCCACATTGCGTCAGAATCCGATGCTCGAAATTTCCAACTGATGTCAGTCTACGATGAATAACAACTTGAAATATTTCCAAATCTCCACAACTCCCTCAAAATTCAACTTACAAATTATCAACTATAATGTTGGTATCCATGTCAACTGATACTTTTTCCCTGTTAATCAATGCATTTCGTAACTAAGAAAAACAATAATAAAAAAACCAGAAAGTAAAGCATAACAGTAACATAATGGTGTTTATTTGCTAAAGCGACAAAAAGGAATCCATATAAACAAATTACATAGCGGAGCAAAAAATCACTCATCAACATTCCAGGGAAAAGAACACGGATTACACAACTCAATACTAAAGCTCACAGAAACCAATAAGGGCAGAAGTGAAAATATTCGGGTTTCACGAAGAACGCGTTTCCCATTCAGCCACTGGGTAGTGGCAGTTTAGTGTTTAATGTGTTTATTTAATACTACTCCATGATAAATTCCTACCCTCGTAACATAAGGTGCACGAAAACCCACGTTATGCCGTCTAGACACCACCTATAAATGGCTCCGGGGGGATCGAACCCTCGACATTCGCGTTATTAGCACGACGCTCTAACCAACTGAGCTACGGAGCCGACAGTCTGATAGCTCAGTAACAACTATCCCACAAACAACTGCACATCATATCACATGCTTTATTGTCATGTCGTCATCCACTGACGCTGTCACTCACATCATCTACCCCACACTCAACACATCACACAAATCTCCATACTCTCACAAACACACTCATCAATACCATCATCCACTCACAACTCACAAGCCGGATAACAGAACCCAGACAACAACACCACAACACTAAAATCTACAGCCGACTTACTACCACACCAATCTCACTATCATACAATCATCCATCACACATTCGTCACATACATTCCACAAGTCAATGCTTCCACCTCACACTCAACCATTAATCCAAGCGAGAAAAACAGTCAACCAACCAACCAATTAATAATATATTCGAGCTAGACAGCACGCCAGCTAGCTAACTCGCTAGATAGCTGGAAATCAGCTGTCATAGGAACAGGTTAAATTGTAACAACTAAACACCGTGATTTCAAAGCTTCCTGTGTGTGTATAGTTGTTGATTCACTCTGTGAGGTGTGTTGATCTGAAGCGAAGGATACTAAGCAAGACAGGTAAGTTGACTTATGTGTCTGTGAACCGTCATCGACATGTCTTGGACATGTACTGTGCATACATACCTAGCCACCACCCGCCTGAATATGCAATGGATTATATTTGAAGAGAGGTCAGGGTAGCCAGACGAAGGCGTGGCGCCAGTCGATGAAATTCATGAATGTTAGCATGTGCCATCAAGGCAACCTTAACGACTTCCTGTGCAAATTACGATTCCGTAATGATTGCCGGCGGCTTCAACACCCCGTCCATCCTCTTCCAGATGGAGTCACATCAGATCCTTCAGCCAGAAGCTGAAGAATGCAATTAAGACTGCTGGCCTCTCAGAGAAAGTGGGTGATACCACACGCTGGGGACCTAATGGAAACTCATCGCACCTTGACTACGTCCTGACGAACGATGAACGTCTCATTGAGGATGTATGCATCCAACCTCCCCTTGGCCTCAGTGACCACGCAGTAATAACATTCTCCATGATTACTAGGGAGAACTAGCAACCAGAGACGCTCAACACCTCCCCTTGCTGCAGCGAGGCCAACTACGAGACCATGAAGGACTATCTCATGAATGCATCACGGCCAGTGAACTGGACCCATCTCACAATAGATGAACACTGGTTACAAGTGAAGAAAATAATCGCTGGGGCCATCAGTCACAGTGTACCAGAGGTAACACATAGACTATCAGTGAGAACCTCATGGCTAAAGCGTGGGCTAAAGCGAGGCTTATCCAGAGCAAGAAGCAGGCTTGGTTCAAGTGGCGTTCATCACGCAGGGAGTCTGACTTTTTGAACTACAAAAGGGTTCACAACCGCTGTAACATAAGAGTGCGTAACGACAGACTTACCTATCAAACAAACCTGGCGGGGAGGTTATAAAGCAACCCAAAAAACCTGTACCGCTTCATGTCGAAAAGGAAGTCGACCAGCAAGGGAGTGAATCTTATCACAGGTCATGATGGGAGTGTACTAGGCAGTCTAGAGATTGCTAAGCTTCTGAGCTCACACTTCCAAGCCCAACTTAGTACTGACACAAAATCCACACCGATTCGTTACGACGCTGACCAGACCAAAAATAACGAATACTTCTGGCATATCTCAATCACAGAGAAAAAAGCGTTGGAGAAACTATCTAGGCTACGTCCAGACAAGTCCCTTGGCTGCGATAACCTAAAACCGGTGATCGTAATAAACTGTGCTGAGGTGCTTGCAAAACCAATCTGCAACCTCTCAAGCACTCAACAGAGTCATACAAACTCCCTGAAGAATGGAAGAGCACCATCTTGTCAGCCATCTTCAAGTGAGGAGACAGAAAAAGCCCTGGCAGCTACAGGCCAATTGCTCTACTCCCTATTGTGTCGAAAGTGTTGGAAAGCCTGGTAGCTGACACTATCTGAGAACTCCTCAATAGGGAAAGCACAGTGCATACTGCTCAGCATGGATTTCAGAGTGGTCGCTCATGTGCCACCAGCTTACTAACCACCTGGGACGACTGGACACTAAGCTGGGACACCAGAGAACCGGTACATGTTGTCTTTCTCTACCCAGCCAAAGCATTTGACAGTGTCCCACCCACAGTACTGCTTCACAAGATCATGTCAGTTGGTATAAGTGAACCCACACTCTCTTGGTTCAAGGATTACCTAGAAGGGAGGCATTTCTGCACCAAAGCAAACAGAATATGGTCAGAGTGGAGACCATCGACGTCAGGAGTATCCCAAGGAGGAATCCCAGGACCACTTCTGTTCGTCTTGTTTGTCAACGATCTGCCAGACAAAATATCCTCACCCATTCTCCTCTTCGCTGACGACATTAAAATTTGGGGGGTGGTAAACGAAGAAGCCGACTGTACAGCACTACAAAAGGACTTGCAGCAACTCGAACTCTGGTCGTCGGAAAGTGGCCTGAGCTTCAACCTGGAAAAGTGCAAAGTAATGCACATCAGTAAATATGAAGCAAGTACAACCAACTTTCAGTACATGTTGAGCAACCATGCTATCACCAGAGTGTCCACGGAGAAATATTTAGGGCTCAACTTCTCCGACACCTTGAACACCAGCTCCAACTACAAAGGTATGACAATCCGAGCCAACGCCATTCTGCACTTTCTACATAGACAGCTTGGCACCCTCACCTCCGAACTCTTCCTCACCATTTTCAAATCCTACGTGCGGCCACATCTAGAGGTCTTCAATTTGGTGGCCCTCCCCAACACTCAAAAGGGACTTTAATCTCCTTGAAAAAGTAGAAAGAACCACAACAAAATCAGGTGTGGAGCTAAGGGGAAAGACATATTCTGAAAGACTTAAACACCTAAACCTATTTACCTTGGGTTACCGTAGGAAGAGGGGTAACCTTATTATGGCCTACAAGATAGTCCATCAGGCAAACCATGCAAACAAATCAATTTTGCCTGCAACACAGAGGTCTTCACGAGGAAACCCCATTAAGATAGCACACCAGAGAGCCAACACCGTACTCAGGTCCAAATTCTTCTCCCTGATAGTATGCGCTTTATGGAATCCCCTACTATGACATGTCGTTATAGCTCCCTCAGTCGACTCATTCAAGAGACGGTTAGACAGTTATGTCACCTCGCATGGTCTACCACGAATGTACTCAGGGGGTCAGCAACCTCACTAGCTCACCCGCACCTCCCTCCTACCTATCACTCACTGTCTCGCTCCGTAATACACCCACATTACCTACTAATTATTTTCTAGGAAATAGACCCAAGCTATCTATTTTTACCTCTCGGGCAACTCTCACATGCTTTTCTCTATCTTTCATTTCTCCGCTTTACCCCCTCTTTCCTTCTGTTTCTCTTCCTTTTACTTTCTTTTTCCTTTCCCTTCATTTTTTTCACTCTTTACCACTACTTTACTATTCTCTTCCAGGTACCTACACAGACAGGAGTCACGACAGTCCCCTAACCTTCCCAGTAACTCGTAGCTCCCCAATCACTCCACAAATTGCAACTTACTAACCGATAAAACATCCACCTCATCGAAGCAAGAAAGTAGAGGGGATTTCCCCGTCCACTGTAGGAGTGAAGCGAACAACTAGAACCAAGCTCTAAGAACTAGACGTGAGAGATCAAAAACTACCAGTATCCTACGCTCACACTATCAATATTGGACTGAGTGAGAACTGAACTGAAGACATTCTGGCTTCACGAAGAACGCGTTTCCCATTCAGCCACTGGGTAGTGGCAGTTTAGTGTTTAATGTGTTTATTTAATACTACTCCATGATAAATTCCTACCCTCGTAACATAAGGTGCACGAAAACCCCACGTTATGCCGTCTAGACACCACCTATAAATGGCTCCGGGGGGGATCGAACCCTCGACATTCGCGTTATTAGCACGACGCTCTAACCAACTGAGCTACGGAGCCGACAGTCTGATAGCTCAGTAACAACTATCCCACAAACAACTGCACATCATATCACATGCTTTATTGTCATGTCGTCATCCACTGACGCTGTCACTCACATCATCTACCCCACACTCAACACATCACACAAATCTCCATACTCTCACAAACACACTCATCAATACCATCATCCACTCACAACTCACAAGCCGGATAACAGAACCCAGACAACAACACCACAACACTAAAATCTACAGCCGACTTACTACCACACCAATCTCACTATCATACAATCATCCATCACACATTCGTCACATACATTCCACAAGTCAATGCTTCCACCTCACACTCAACCATTAATCCAAGCGAGAAAAACAGTCAACCAACCAACCAATTAATAATATATTCGAGCTAGACAGCACGCCAGCTAGCTAACTCGCTAGATAGCTGGAAATCAGCTGTCATAGGAACAGGTTAAATTGTAACAACTAAACACCGTGATTTCAAAGCTTCCTGTGTGTGTATAGTTGTTGATTCACTCTGTGAGGTGTGTTGATCTGAAGCGAAGGATACTAAGCAAGACAGGTAAGTTGACTTATGTGTCTGTGAACCGTCATCGACA